GAAGTTGAATCTCTCAAAACAAAGATTTCTTCAAATGGGTTCTTCCAAAGAGATGACCTTTGAGAGAAAACTCTCAGTTCAAGCCATGGATGGTGCAGGAACTGGAAACACATCAACTATCTCTCGTAACGTAAGCTTCACGATGTTGTTTATTTACCATTTTATAGTAACAATTTTTAAAAGTTTTGAATTTTCGTTGTTGCGCACCAGGTGTTTGCGATAAGTCACTTGTTGGTGTCACTTGGGATCATACTTGCTGCTGACTATTTCTTGAAGCAGGCGTTTGTTGCAGCGTCTATTAAGTTCCCAAGTGCTTTGTTTGGGATGTTTTGTATCTTCTCTGTTCTTATGATATTTGATTCGGTTGTTCCCGCTGCTGCAAATGGTTTGATGAATTTCTTCGAGCCTGCGTTTCTGTTTATACAGAGATGGCTTCCTTTGTTCTATGTTCCTTCTCTTGTGGTTCTTCCTCTTTCTGTCAGAGATATTCCAGCTGCTTCCGGTGTCAAAATCTGCTACATTGTAGGTATATATATATACTCTCACTCAACACGCGATCGATGAACTTAATCTTCACTCACAAGTCAAAACTTGGTTTATAAACTCTTGTTCTTTGGTAGATTTTGTGGTAATTTGGTCTAATTGCTCTGTTTTGTATTATATTCGATGCCCATCCTATGTCAATGTTGAATTGAATGTTTGTTTGTACAGCGGGTGGATGGTTGGCGTCTCTTTGTGTAGCAGGGTTCACAGCAATTGCAGTGAGAAAAATGGTGAAAACCGAAATGACGGAAGCCGAACCTATGGCAAAACCATCACCATTTTCAACACTTGAGCTATGCAGTTGGAGTGGAATCTTTGTTGTGTCGTTTGTTGGTGCTCTGTTTTACCCTAATTCATTGGGGACAAGTGCAAGAACTTGTCTCCCTTTCCTTCTTTCTTCAACTGTGCTAGGTTACATTGTCGGTTCTGGGTAAAGTTCAAATCCCCTTCTTTGTTCTCAATCTTTAAGTCTCTCTCTTTCTCTCTTGCGGTTGTTCTCAGTGTCTTATCTTTCTTTTTTCCAGGTTGCCATCTTCTATCAAGAAAGTTTTCCATCCTATAATCTGTTGCGCGTTATCTGCAGTACTCGCTGCTCTAGCTTTTGGGTATGCTTCAGGATCTGGACTTGATCCTGTTTTAGGTAAAGCCACCTTTATGAAACAAACTAAAAGAGAAACCCTTTAAAGAACCTAAAACAGAAAGTAAAAGCTTTTTGTTCACTGCTCTTTAATGGTGACAGGAAACTACCTTACCAAAGTAGCATCAGATCCTGGTGCTGGTGACATATTAATGGGTTTTCTTGGCTCTGTCATTCTGTCTTTCGCTTTCTCCATGTTCAAACAAAGAAAGGTAAAACAAGCAACAAACTTGTTCTGTTTTGCGTTAGAAAACTGGTAACAATATCTTTGGTTTGCCTCTGTCTTCTTCAGCTCGTGAAGAGGCACGCAGCTGAGATCTTTACATCTGTGATAGTTTCAACGGTATTCTCGCTCTACTCCACTGCTCTTGTTGGACGTTTAGTCGGTTTAGAACCATCTTTAACGGTTTCAATCCTACCTCGCTGCATCACGGTTGCATTGGCCCTTAGCATTGTATCACTCTTTGAAGGTATACATTTTTCTTCTTCTTCTCCTCTACCAAACACATTAAAGAACATCCATAACGACTTTCTTGGACATTTTCAGGGACCAATTCATCTCTTACAGCAGCTGTAGTCGTTGTGACTGGTCTGATTGGAGCTAACTTTGTACAAGTTGTTCTTGACAAACTGCGTTTACGTGATCCAATTGCTCGGGGAATTGCAACTGCTTCAAGGTGACTCCTCCTTTACAAATGATCTTTCAAATTTTGAATAAAAATTAGGCATTAATGCCATTAGGATCAAAAGACATGAACTTTCTTATTTTTATGGCCAGTGCTCATGGACTTGGAACAGCAGCTTTGTCGGCTAAGGAGCCAGAGGCTCTTCCCTTCTGTGCAATAGCTTATGCTCTCACCGGAATCTTCGGATCATTACTGTGTTCTGTCCCTGCCGTCCGACAGAGTTTGCTGGCAGTCGTCGGCTGAGGATTGTTGATGTGGCGTCACACAATTGATGGTCTCAAAGCCGGTGAGTTACTTAAAATATGGGAGCAGTTTGCTTTGGATGTAAAATAAGCTTGTATCAATGAAAAAGATGATGGAAAATGCTTATTTATTTTATTTTATATATATAAATGTAGTGAAATTTGTACAAAATATATAAATTTTATTTAAGAGTAGGATGCCCCAGCTTTCCAAATATTTGGCACAAAGGTCAATCATTTGTGTCCATCCAAGGAAGATGAGATTTTTTTATGAAAACTTCTTCATCTAGTTGAGTCTCTTAGACCATTAGCAGTGGCAAATGTGTTTGTGTGGGTGTAAATATTTTTTTAGTATTATAATTTAAAGCAAAAGAGAAAAGAGAGAGAGAGAAAGAAAGAGAGAGAGAGAGTGTCTTACACTCGAGTGTAAACTTACACCCGAGTGTGAAAGAGAGAGACAACTTTTGCATTAAATCTGTTTTTTTTAATACTTACACCCCCCTTCCGAATGCACCACTGCCTATGCTCTTACTACCAAGTCTGCTAAAAGAGTTGCCTCGACCACGATTGTTCCTATACTAGGTTGAAGATTTATTTGATCGCGTTAATGTTGAAGGCCAAATGAGGAGAAACAATGGATTCAGCAACATATCCTTGAAGGCCACTAATCGTGGACTTGGTGAAGGCGCTAGAAGTACCTCATAGCACCAAGGATCAGCTTTGATAGCAGCATCATGCTTGCTTGCAATCCCAACCGAAATTCATGAGTTAGATAGAGATGAAGTTCAAGATTCCCACTCGATAGTGATCTATATTACAAAAAGCTTTCATAACTCTTTATTTGCTTTGCATGAAATCTTTTAATCATTTATGGGAAAACAAATTTATTTCGCAGAAATGCTAATGTTAAAAATTGAAGTTAAATTTAAAATCTCAAAATTAGCAAATGTGAAGATAAACCATATGAGCTAAATGATATCAATCAACAGAGTATATTTACCATTCTATAGTTTACTCTTAAAGTGAAAATACATATAAAATAGAAAAGATGGAGCTGAAATATCAAGTTACAAAATACAAATAAAGGGGCTACATAACTATCAGTTTGATTTAGGGCACAAGAATGCCAAGATCAGCAATGAAGCAACATTTAAATACACATAAATACCAACACCAACTTGATAGAATCAATCAATTTATTATTTGTTCTTATTCATTTCTATCATATTTATATGGATACACACGAATACATGATTATCTCTTGGAATCTCTTTATGATTCCTCATACATGATTTTACGCGTAAAAGTTAGTCGGTCGAAGTTTAAATTAGCCGCCAAACGTAGAAAGTATCATCGGAAAATCTTCATGGCATGGGACATGGCGGAATCCAACGATCGATATACTACATCACTATATCTTCCGTCACTATTACTTTATTTTTATCACATTCAATCATATAATTTTAACCCTACATAATTAACTTTTCTCCTAAGTACAGAGTGATATTTAATTTTTTTTTACATAACAGCTGTTATATTCATAAAATTTAAATTGTTTTCAAAAATATTCAAGGTGTTTACATTTGTGTAATATGAAGAAAAATCCACATATATACTTTAATGTTCACCAATCCCTTTACTTTTTATCCAAAATTATAATAGTATATCAAAATCATTATAAGAAACGTAAAAGTACAAAATTATTAAATGAAAAAAAAAAGGCAAACAAATGCGTCTGCTTTGCGCAATTTTTTTTCCAATTTAAAAGGAAGGGTAACTTTTTTTGTCATCATCTAATTTAAAAGAAAATATAGCTATCTCTTGTAAAAAGACAGGTTCAAATTTTTATATTTATGGTTCATGTGTCAAAGGAATTTAGAAATATATTCGTAGATTTAAATATTAATTATGTTAGAATTTCATTCAATTTTTGAATACGATTATTCAAATCAGGAGAATCAAATTTTAATACAAATGTAATCTACCTTTGGCACCATACGCTTACAAAGTACATAGTTTGCACTTGATGTTTTCACATTTATTTGCTTCTTTTTTTATCTAAAATTTCATTTACACTTTCAGGATTTTGTACGTTATGGATCATGATATTTTTGTCACCAAGGTTAGCTCCGAATTGATGTAAACTGTTATTACCGTAACCATGTACACAGATTTTCCCGTTATAGTTGTTTTGTCTCAAGAATAATCTCACAGTTTGGGATGCCATAGTTTTCATAATCCCACAAACCAAGAATATTTGTTGTTGAATAATCAGGCAAAGTCATACCATAGAGGAAACAAAAACACAAAACATAGGCTTATTGCTGAACATGAATTCTCGACCTCTAGATATATCTTTATTTTGGATTATGAGAACCGTAAGATAACAAGTGATGTTAGTTTGAATATGCTTTATAGTAACATCAAAAAAAGCATGAAATCTCCTGAGAATACGCGATAAAAAATCAAAGTATGTAAATCTAACCATGGATAAATTCAAGATTATTTTGATTTTAGCAATATATAAAAATGATAATAAATGTTAGCAAATGCTTCTATTTTTAAATGCTAAAAATGATAATATATTACCTCAGCTTTTAACCAAAGTATGTCGAAATTTTAAGAAATTAATAATAATGGACAAATTCAATATTATTTTGATTAAAACAATATATAAAAATGATAATAAATTTTTGATATGCTAGCAAATGCTTATATTTTTACATTTTACTTTTTTGCAAAAGACAAAAAAGTAAATTTTAATATTTGAAATTAGGAAAATCTGTATTCATTTTTTAGTCTTGTGATCAAATAAAATATAATAATTTCATACAAATTATCAGAATTAACAATCCATTACAAATTTTTTTTTGTCAAAATCAAATCGAACAAAATATTGAGAGGACAAAAGTAAATAGAAAAAGAGGATGACGAGAGCAAAGCTGCAATGGAAGGTGTTAAGCTAAACTCTCTTCTCGTCTGATTTCTTCTACTCTCAACTCTCAACCACAAAACCAAAAAAATGCTACTAATTCCAATTTCTTCTTCTTCTTCTTCCTCTTCCTCTATGTAAGTTTTCTCCTTTTCAACATTCAAATTCTCATCTCTTAACGATATTACTAACATCGTCTTTGTTGTAGCCTTCCTCCTAACTCATATCCATCGAATCATCACTCTCTGTTTTTCTCCAATCTCACATACCCGATTCCACATGGTAACCTATCCTTCAACTTGTTGACTTTTTTTTCAATTTCACAATCCCAATTCGAAAAAAACTGAGATTTGGGTCTTCGAGTATATCAAGCTGAGATTACAATTCTGTTCTTCAGGAAGTAGAAAGTTGAAGACTTTGCGACTCAGAGCCAATTTCTGGGAGTCAATCCGATCTGGGTACTGAAAAAGTTTCAAACTTTACTTGCTTATATGAGAAATTAGGTGCTGATACAAACAACACACAATTGTTGCAGGTTTGTGAAGAATAATAATAGTACCCAACTTGTGGAACCACCTTCTATAGTTGAAGAAGAAGAAGAGACTGAACCATTGTTGCCTGTGGAATTTACTTTAGTTGAGAGAAATCTTGAAGATGGTTTAATTGAAGAGATCATATTTTCTTCTGGTGGTGAGATTGATGTTTATGATCTTCAAGGTCTTTGTGACAAGGTAGTTAAAAACACTACTCTTTTGCTCTGTGTCTGGTTGATGATACTAATTTTGCTTGAACAATCTCATTTATGGAACAATAAAGGTGGGATGGCCACGGAGACCGTTAGTGAAACTAGCTGCTGCTTTGAAGAATAGTTATATGGTTGCTACTTTGCATTCGGTTATGAAGTCATCATCAGATTCAGATTCATCAGGTGCTTATAACTAAGTAGCTCTTTTCTTCAATCCAATATAAGCAACGTATATATATACAAAGAGGATGTTTTGATGAACATCTTAGCGGATTTTGGAGAAGTTATTTGACACAGAAGGAGGTAATGAGGAGAAGCAGCAGGAGAAGAAGCTTATTGGTATGGCACGTGCGACCTCGGATCATGCCTTTAATGCTACAATCTGGGATGTTCTTGTTGATCCTGAATATCAGGTAACAAAAAATGGAAATGGTTTTTGCTTTCCGGGCTGTGAATTGCTTTGTGTTTGATGTTAATTAGTGTTTTTGTTTGTTTTCAGGGTCAAGGGCTAGGTAAGGCGCTTGTCGAAAAACTTGTTAGGGCTCTTCTTCAGAGAGATATTGGTAACATATCTCTATTTGCAGATAGTCAAGGTAATAAATATCGAATCACCTTATGCTTCAATTTTTGTAATCAAATATTTGGATTTGTTCTTTCTTAGTTGTTGAATTTGTGTTCCTTTTTGTGAAGTTGTGGATTTCTATCAGAACTTGGGGTTTGAGGCTGATCCAGAAGGCATCAAAGGCATGTTTTGGTACCCAAAGTAGTTACTTGGTGATTACAAGAGAATGGGATTATTATTTGTTTGTATATTTCTGTGCTTTCTTATATATGGATCTATAAGGAAGTTTCAACTGTGCATTTTGTAACTCAAAATCTATTTGAGATTCAACATAAGTATGATCAATAGGAGAAAAGTTTTCTTTCTTTTGCTTAGGTCGATTCGTGGTTTGAATCTACTTTGGTGCTATAAAGGATAAATTTTGATGGATCGATAAAGGCGTTCTATAAACTGAACTGTTATTGCTCTGCTATTCACTTCTCTACATTACAGGCTTTTTCTTTTTATCTCCACACAAATTACAAAACAAGCAAGACCGTCCTTTTCGCCATGAAAATCCGCGGTAAACAACGCATAAAGAAAGAAAGAAATAAGAAAAGAAGAAACTGCGGATGGATTTATCGACGCGTTCTATTTGGCTTCTCTTTGTTTGTTTTAGGCTTTAGCTTCTGCACGAGCAGTGGCTTTGTTGGCAATGAGCTGCTCATAGAGGTCTCTGATCTTCAATCCAACAATGGTTTGGAATAGACCAGTCCCGTTGTTGCTACCCGGGAAGTCAGCATGTTTGAGCATTTGTTGAGTGACTTCGCCGTAGAATTTGGTCGAGAGGTTGCTCAAGTGACTCTCCACGTAAATCAGCTCGTCCAGTCTATCAAACTGTCCATCCATCTCCAAAACCGATACCTGAGAGAAACAAAAAGAGAAATATATGCAATGAGTCTAATTTCTCATTTACATGCATTTCTCACAATATGTCATTATGCAATATTACCAATCCAAGCCAGTAAATGAATGTACCTCATGGTCGAAGTATGAATCAGGTTCGTAGTTGAACTTGATGCCAGGGTACGAGCAAGTGAGTTTGCGGCCGCAAGGGATCCACGAGATTGTTGAACCTTCATCAAACAGATAAACCGGGCTGAAGTACTTAACTCCTTCCTTCATTATTAGTCTCACTCTCAACACTTTCCCTTCGTTGTCGTCTGGGATCAGCGTCGTAGGAAGCACTTCAATGACCGCATCCGCATACTGCTTTTGCGGGTCTGTATAAACCATTAATAAATTGTTAAAGATCAATCGGAAAATGACACGATAATTACACCAAAACTAGAGTTTATACCGATGAATGCATCGAAGTCGGGCTTTCGGGCTTCAATACTCGCTTTGATGCTCTCCAAACTGTGACCTCTTTCAGCCATGTCCCTCTGTGATCATCAAAAACGTTACTGATTCATTTTATATGATAAATCGAATAAATTGTATAAATGTAGATGAATATTCAAAGAAACGCACCTGAATTTTCCAAGCGAATTTGACTTCGTTGCTAATGTCTAAGTAGATACTGAAGTCTAGTAAGTCTCTTACTCTCTCATCAAACCTTCACAAGTAGATAAATATCAATATAAAAATTTATAAAACATTACAACTACCAAAAAACTAGAGACTTAATTATTCAAATAAAAATTAAACGGTGTCACACACTACATGCATAGATTCGAAGATCCATCTTTTAATATTCTGATACTGATTCTATAAAAAATCTAAGTCCAAGATTCTTAATCATCCAAATTCCGACAAGATAAGAGACTTCCAAACTCTAAAATTTGAATTTTGTCTAAGAGACAAAACAGAGTATGTGTAGCTTACATTGGGTGAAGACCTTCGATGACAAGAATCTTAGGAGGCTGAATAAGCTCAGGCGGGTCAAGAAGTCCAGTGACATGGTTATATATCGGTTTCTCAACGGCAACACCACTCTTAAGAGCTTTGACTTGCTCATACATGAGATCAAAGTCATTAGCTCGTGGGTCCAAAGCGGTGACTTTTTGCTCTTTGCGACCGTACCTGTCCAAGGAATGGTAATCGTCAAGACAGATCACAGTGGTCGTGTCGCTGATGAGTGTGTTGGAATCAGGGTTCCCGCCTTTTGGAGGCTTAGCAGCGCCACCAAAGACGCTGGTGAGCCTCCGCATAAAGGTACTTTTGCCGCAGCCAGAGTCGGCAGCTAGTCCGATCACGATGGTTTCTTGTGCGCAAGTGATGAGTGTGTTGAATCTCCGGTTGGTTTGTGGTTGACGACGGTAGAGGAAGACTTGTTTGGAAGAGGAAGAAGAGGTTAAGAAATGAGTTGAATTAAGAGCTTGTGTTGAGTAGATAGTTGAGACAGCCATTGTTGTTTGTTTGGTGTTTTTGGTTCCCTCTTCTTCTCCGCCTAAGCTCTTTTGTTTGTTTAGTTTTGTGAGCTCAGGTTGAGTGATGAGGATTTAGGATAGAATGAAAGAAATGTGGGTAACGATTTTTGATTTTATGGGTTTTTGTGTGGTGATATAAAGATGTGGTTTTTTTTTTTTTTTTGAATAAAGATTAAATGGGGAAAGAGAGAAATGAGAGGAGGACAATGGGTCTATAGGAAAAACAGATGGCAATTTGCAGAGAGGAAAATGAGTTTTATTTTGTTTTGTTTTGGTTTAATGTGGTTGTGTAATGAGGGGCTCATGTTTTGGTTTCTTGAAGTAAAATAGTTTGTAATGTTGATTAGTCTCTATGTTAAAGATAATTGTTGATAAGATAAGAGGATAATAAAACATTTCTAGCCATAAAAACCACTTGTTTACTTCATGAAGTAATTTTCTTAAGTAAGATAATAATTGGAGGATTGAGTTTGGGAGAGGAGTGGAGTTGCCGATGAAGTGATAAAAGTAACAGGGCATGGAGGGAGATGCTTGCTTGGTGGTTATTTGCTTATTTTTTGGGTTTTGGATATTTGAATTGACACGTGGGGGATTCTAATTGGAGGGATGGGGATTAGGTGTTTAAGGTCTGAAGATGAAGGAGAGTGTATTATGTGGGGTCACATTGACACGTCGGCGTATATCCCCTCAGCTTCGAATCTTTATGGTATTTGAACAACTTACCTTTTCATGCATTTATTTTTTCTTAGGGATCAAAGCCTTCTTGCGTTACCTTAACAATGGGCTTTCAAGCCTTGAATTTTATTACGCATGAATTTCAGTATTTCACCATACGGTAATTATTATAAGAGACATCAGGATTTAAAAACACAAAATCATGGTTTATCGACCACGATAGTATCGGCACTTGTTGCATATTCTTGGACACAAAGTGAATGTAGTGTCCTCCATACGTGGTCCCATAGGTACATAACCAAAATAGGAGAATTTCTTAGGTTAATTTGACGAAGATGAATCTCTCTTGGTGTTTGCTAATAAAAAAAGTCATAAAGTTCAGAATAATCTACTCTGGTATACGCAAACGTAATGATAATCATAATGACCAGGTTCTAAGATTCAGACCGAAGTGAGTAGTAATAAATTCATGGCTATGATTTTTTGTCTTAATAGACTACTACGTCGAAAAACTCCCAAACGTTCAGAGACGATATTGGTATATTACAGACCAGAGGAGAACAGAGTAAAAAAACCTATAGAAATGGCCGAACAAAACGCATCAATGGTAAAATGGTAATTACATTCATACGAGATACACTTCAAACCTTTTCTTGTAAGGGAAAAATTACCATCATCTTCCTCTCTATCTCCTTTTCACTTGTTTCCCCTAAAGTAGAGGTAAATTTTCTGCAGAGCCAAAATGGGAAACCCGATCAGTTCAGATGTTTACCGGTTCATTCAGTGTCGACAGTTTTTGAAGAAGCCATGAAGAGTATGAATCAAAGGCTTACCTGAAGAACCCATAGACTCAGAAGTGACTCCAAGCAGAAGAGACCGAATCCGATAAAGTAGAAGATCTGCAATCATTCATTAGCCTCACACATTGAAATATATTATAGGCGTTGTGATGAAATATAAAATGGATGTATGGCTCGTACCCCGGCTAATAAACTGTCTGAGATGACATCAATTGCTGCAAGCACACCCCTGTTGATCACAAAGACAGTGGGAACAATGTTAATCTCAAGGTAACAAAACATAGAGAGACACGGAATCTTCTAAAGTATTACAATATAGAGCATTAATTTGACGATTGTAAGGTTTTTCTGACCGCAAAATTTTTACAGAGGTGAAAAACACAGCAAGATTCTCACTTTTACTGGTAGTCATAATTCCCATTCTTAAGTAACAACTCCATATTAATAAACCTATCAGAACAACTTAGAACTTTCTAATTAAAGCCCTCACTAGACTAACCAACTACATATGAAGTAACAGAAAACTCGAACGTAATAGTAGGCTAAGGCTATTATTGGAAAGCTTACGTTAATGATTTTCCATGGAAAAAGATCGGAGGGGCAATGGCGGCAACAATGCAAAAGCCAATGTGAATCTGTGAAGAGCTAAGGTCAATCATATGGAACATGGGAAGTATATCTGCTTATAGGTAAAATATAAATTGTTTTTACAAACTCACCAGGTAGGTGAAGAAAAACCAACCAAACTTCAAAGCGCTGTCAGTCCTACAAGGTCGTAAAAAGTATTTCAATTATATGACCTGGCTTTTTAAACATTATCAATGCACGGTAGAAATGGACTCATATTTGTATTAAAACGAATGGAAGGGAACTAGTTAAAAGGAGTATTACCTCATGGCTCGGTAGAGTGGCCTGTACCACAGTACGTAAGAAAGTGGACATCCGATCAACGCATATATCGTGGCCAGGAAGAAGATTTTAACACCTATCATTAATATTTGAAAATCAGTACTAGTTCAATCAAATCCAAGCCAAATTTCATAAAAATAGTTACACTCAAAAAATAAAGTATTATAATAATATAGTGTAGGCTCACCTCCGCCTTTAATCCAGCAGACCATCGTTGCAATGACATTGAATACCAGACACAGAACTATACCTGAAATTTTAAAACTCGAAGAGTCAAATACAATCCCATCAATTCATCACATTAGATACATGTAATAAAAAAAGACAGACAAACTAAATTAGACTTACCTAACCAGCTAGCGAAAGCCAGATACTGCAGCTTTTGTGCATGAACTGGTATCTCTTTAGCAATGTCATGGTGTATGATGGGGAAAAACGGTGGCCAGTTTTTATCATCTATCTGCACACCAGCTGCAACACAATTTAACGACTACGGTTAGTTATCATCCACCACGACATTTACAGAGATTTAGGCGAGTCAAAACTGTCAAAACTAATGAATAATATAGTCATCAAGTTGTCATTTGCTTACATTTAGCGATAGCATCCTCTCTTCGCTTGATATCCTGAGAGAACATTATACAAAAGAACATCAATCAATAGAAATTTAAGAAGCACAATGAAGATATGTTTGACAAAGTCATATAAATGATACAAACCATTTCTTTCTTCCTCAGCTCAGCTTCCCAGTCAGCAAGCTTCCTCTGTTTCTGTGAAGAGTCCTGCATCAATCAAACAAACATGTAAGGTAAATCCAAGTGAAAAAGGTTCATAAGTTTAGTAGATATTAATGTGATTACATTCATATTATCCAATGGAATATCAACAGTAGCATCAAGGCTTTGGCCAAATTCAACTGGTCTAGATGCAGCAGGAACTCTTCCACCACCTTTCTGCAAAATTAATCAATGATTACAAAAAGAATCAATAACCTATCAAATGTCAAGCACCAATAACACAAAGCATCAAGCATATATAGACAAATTTCAACCTAGTTTCCAGATCCACATATATAGTTCAGTATCACGAAGAAACATCGAGAGATCCATAATCTCAACACTGTTAAAGATCATTTCGAAATAGAAAAGAGCCTTTCGTAGTCAAACAAAGTCTACAGTCCTCAGTTTTCTGCTATATTCCATTTCGACCAAAACTAAATAAAAACGTTCAAATAAGAGAGAGATCTGGATTCCTCTACCGTCGCGAACGCAGAAAATCCAAAAAATCGACAAAAATAGAGAAGAAAGAGAAAAAGTATTTACCGAAAAAGGATTGACGATTTCTTCTTCCTCATCGAAAGGATTGGGATCGTGGTGGCGATTCATCGTTGGTTAGAGATCCTAGATTCACGATACTGATAGATTTGTCTCCGATAAGATCGCCGAGATCCGGCGAGAGGTTGAAGAAAGAGAGAAGAAAAAAGAGAGAGCACCGACTCTACTGTGAAAGCAAACTGATGTGGTTGGACTCTTTTTAGTTTTTCTTCTTTTTCTCTCCCATACGAAACGCGGAATTTGGAACTATTGGTATTGACGAAACTACCCCTAAGAAGTATATGGGCCGTTATTTGCTCTGGACTTCAACGTAGGCCCAATGGTTAGTGTTGTCTTTTATAACCAAAACTGGATGACTTTCTGCGTTGATATGATTTCATGATTTGGGTAACTTTTGGAACAGAATGTTTTTTTTTTTTGGTAGGCAGAATGTTTTATGATGTTTAATATAGTTTGATTATACAATAATAAGGAGATAGCTTATATTCCTTAAAATAATATGATGTTATCTTATTATATAAAGTATAGTTTTCAAAGTTAGTAATTCATAGGATCGTGACACGTGTCAAATATATCGATCTTAGATTTTGACACGTGTAAAACAAAAATTTTCTTTTTAAAATAAAAAAGATAATTGTAAGTAATTATAAATTTAAATAATTAAAAATTTAAAATATAATTATAAGGATAATTGTAAATAATTAATATTTCTATAAATAATTTAAAAAATGTCAAAAGATAATAATAAGGAAAATATATGATTTTGTAGTTAAGAATATATATTTCAATTAAACAAAAAAAAAATCAGGCAAATTTTATTATTAGGGGTGTCAAAATGGATAAACCGATTCAAACCGATCCATAATCCAATGAGTTTAGGCTTAAATGGTTTGTGTTGATCCAACTCATTTGTTAAATGAATTGAGTCAATCTATTAATCCAATTATTTGATGGTTTAATGGTTAAATGAGTTAATCCATGAAAATAAAATAATTAATTAATTAATAAATATTATCATCATATAATATTACAAATAATAATTAATGACATAAATGAGTTATGATATCATGTTTTTGGCGGGAAAATCATGGAATCACGTTTTCGTGAGAAAATCCGGAATCACGCTTTTGGCAGGGGAAAATACGGAATCACGTTTTTGGCGAGAAAATGTGGATCGCTTTTTAGCGGAAAAATGCGGAATCGCGTTTTTGGCGGGAAAATTACGGAATTATGTTTTTGATGGGAAAATGTGAAATTGCGTTTTTGGTGGGAAAATTCCGGAATTATGTATGGTAGGAAAATGAAAAATTGTTTTTTTGGCGGAAAATGTCGAATTGCGTTTTTGGCGGAAAAATTACGGAATTATGTTTTTGGCGGGAAAATGTGGAATTATGTTTTTGGCGGGAAAAACATGATTACGTTTTTGACGGAAAAATGTGGAATCACTTTTTGACGGGAAAATCACGGAATCACATTTTGGCGGAAAAATGCGAAATCACGGTTTGGCGAAAAAAATACGAAATCACGTTTTTGGCGAGAAAATGTGGAATCACTTTTTGGCGGGAAAATCATGGAATCACATTTTTGGCGGGAAAATGCGGAATCACGGTTTTGGCGGGAAAAATTTACGGAATTGCGTTTTTGGCGAGAAAATGTTGAATCACGTCTTGGCGGGAAAATTTATTTCATGGATTTAATAGTTAAATCACGTTTACTTTGGTTTATTAAAATCGGTTTTGACATTTGATTTGATTATATTTGGTTTAGACATTTGATTTTGAATGTTTAATCTTTATTGGTTGGTTATGAGTAATCCACTAATTCATTCTAACATAAACCATTTCAGTCCAATTCATTAAACTCACTAATCCATTAATCCATTAGTATCCAAATTTCTCATTCATTATATACATGGATTAGATTGGTTTGGATTGATCCATTAACTTTTATCCATTTTGACACCCCTAGTTATTATATAACTAATATGATCTATTTTTTTCTCAAAGTTAGTAATTAATAGTATCATGAACAGTTATCAGTCAAAAATTTTATCATATGTCATGATTTAATTTAAAATTTGATATTATTTATCTCAATTTCTTTTCCAATTAGAAATATATGATGATTTAATTAAACTAATCCTAATATTATTTATTTGAGTTTATTTTTTCAATTAGAAATATGAATGATCAATTTTTCTTCCTTTTTGTAATATGTTTTTTACTTAACTGTGTTTTTTGTTTGTCCTCAATTATGATTGTAGTATTGTTAGATTGTTTATTTCAATTTCTCTTTTCATATTTAAATTATCAAAGATTCATATATCATCGTGTTTATAATTTTTTATTTTTAGTTTAACTGTTGTATCTTTAAATTATTTATTTTGGTTTCTATGTTCAGTTTAAATTATATGTTGGTGCAGGAATTAGCACCTCCGAAAATACCGGCTTAGACCGGACGAATTGCGAATTAAATTGGGAATCCGATTTAAACCGGAAAATCCCGGTTAAGCCTGTTAATGGGCTGGAAGCGGAGATCGCCAGGCGAGTTCGACTCAAGTACGGAAGATCGCCTGCAAAAAACTTCCTCATTCAAGATAAAAGGAGATTTTCCTAGAAGAATAAGGAGAATCCCGAAAAGAAATGAAAGATTGAAGATTCAGCTTTATCAATTTAGAAGATTAACTTATCTCTAAACCGCCTTAATTATGTATAAATAGGGGGGTTTGTCCTCTATTCAAAGGATCCACAACTTTGCACAAAAAACCCTAATTGTTTTTGAGCTAAACCATATCGTTGTCTCTAAGCAATAAAATTCACCCCTTCTTATCGAGTCTTTGATCTTTAATAGCAAGAGAGTTAATTGAATTTGTTTTCCCCCTTTAAACAAATTCATTGTGTGATTTTCGGAATCAACATTATATAAGATTTATAATATATCATAGTTCTAATGATTTTAGATAGCGACATATGTCATTATTTAAATTACAAATTTACATTATTTATATCAATTTTATTTTCTAATTAGAAATATGTGATGATTTTAAGTAAATTTTTATATTGTTTATTTGAAATTCTTGAATATGTAAGAACCATATATGCTTCTTCTTTGTTTTTGATATTTTCAATTTAATTATACTATTTCAAAATTGTTTATTTAAATTTCTATGTTCATATTTGAATTATATAAGATTCATATAGCATCGTGCTTATAATTTTTTGAATTTATCAATTTTTATTGATTGATCATAAAGTCATTGCAATCGAATATATAGGAATCGAACCCGCAACGTTAGTTTGGAAGGCTAAGGGATTTAGTCGATTTATCATCTTTATATTTTTAACGTGTCTAATTAAAAACCACTTTGGTTTCATTCGCCAACTTTATGATGAATATTTTTAATTTTAGTTCTCCGTATAAATATACGATAAGTTATTGCTATGTGATAAATCTTTTATTCGAAATAATTTTGAATTAGGAATTTTAGTGGTTAAAGAAACAATGCAGCAGTGAAAAAAATAAATATTTTCTTTACTTTTGAAAGAAAATTTCTATTTACAACGTTGTTAATTAATTTTTTGTTAGATTTGATTTTAATTTTAAAAAATTTAAATCCGTCCATCGGACGTGTGCTTATCTAGTTGAATATAGAATTCACTTTAAAATAGTTCCAAATTATGTAAAGTTTTATGTTATTCAATCAACGATTTGTGAAAATCATATCAAACATTTGTTTAAGAAAATTCTACTGAAAGTTTTTCTTTTTAAAACGTTATATACATTTTTAGTTTTAAAAAGGAACAAAACGATCACATATGTTAGTCTGCGTTGAACCGACGCGAGATAAGTTTGCCTCAAAGAAAATGATCTTGATTTCGTTGAAAGTGTAGTCGTACGCCACGGCGGAGAGGATGAAAACAAGTCATATAAGAAGACGAAAGCAAAGGCCATGACAACGACCTTTTTATACCTAATTGTTTTTAAATGTTTTATAACTAAATATTTTTTGTTAAAATATGTTTTATACCTAAATTGATAATCATTTTTTCATCTTTTTTTTTTTTTTTTTTTTAACATCAAATCGTAACTTTATTAATGTGAACCAAAGATTACATTGTTAAAACATAAGGATATAAACACAATCAAATAGATTTGTAACGAAAAAGCAAAAAAGTTCAAGCGCCGCAATCCGAATGATATGCTTAGTTGCTTTCGTCGTATCCGTCAATCTTGTGTGACTCTCTAGCTTGGGAAACATCTTCTTTTTATCGATGCACCATCTTTTACGCTTTCGAAAGTCAAAGTCTGCGATCCATCCGTTACATCGCAAGACCCTAGATTTGGGAACTCTCCTGAAGAAAGAGATATGAAGTTTTGTGATTGTAGCGTAAACCCATACTTGTTGTTGATCTGATCTTCTGATTCGCATCATAATCGCATCTCCATCCTCCGTTGTGGGTTGATTCCATGGCGGTTTTCGTGGTGGTCGTTGTCTCATTAACAAATCCAAAGAGATTTGTATCAACCATCGAAAAGCCACGAAACAGTGGTCTTCGGAGACTACCATAAAACTAACAAAATATGTTAGTTTCGATAAAAACTCGGTAATACATACCGGATATGCCTCGGCGACTTCGCCGGAAAAGACCTTCACCACGGAGGACCGGATGAGACATGGTATATAGACTTGAGACTCCCACAAAACGGTTCCTTTTTCATCGACCAGAGGTATTACCGTCCCATGAGACGGGTTCGCTTCTGCCTTCGGATCTGATATCCACTTGACATGAAAGTGGTGAATGTTTGTCGCCGGTGTAAGCACGAACACGGATAACGTCACCATCCGAAGGAAAACCATAGATCGGAAGAGATACCGGTGGAAGAAAGTGTCGCCCATTTTTTCATCATGTCCTTTATTTTTTAGTTTTTTTTTTATTTTTCCTTACATACTTCTCGTTTCATTTTTTGCCAAATATTCACAACGATATGGAATATATATAAATGACTTCATAGTGATTAAAAGCTCTTTACTTGTAAAAGACTTTTGATATCTAAATTAATTTCCATATGTGGAAGAGTTTAAAGGCTTCTACATTAGGGTTCAAATCCTAGATAACATAATTTCTTTCAGATTATCGATGCAAAGTTTACCGGAAGTTTCAGAGTACTACAGGAAGAGCCGTGGTCTCGTGCGTTACGGAAAGAACATGTTTATCGTATGTCGTATATGCAGAACCGTCCGTTGTGGATCTGAACGTTATGGGGAACTGCATCGTAGAATCGTTGTTCGTGAAAATTGTTCATCGTAATCGTATATGTTGCAGGTAGTCTACATCATAATATAATTAAATCAAATATTTCTAATTCTGATGTCATAGATGACAAAAATAAATTATTTCCATAATAGAACTCGATGCAGTCTACATACTTTATACTGCAAACGACATTTAGTATCGTTCATCAACACGTGATATCATAGATGGCTCTGAAATTTATGAGGCTTAATCTAAAACTATATTTTGGGGCCTCTTCTAAGATAGTTTCTAATGGGAATTAAGACATATTTATATATTGATGGTTTTTTTATTAGACCATTGTTTTCCCTCTACCTGGTCTCTAGGACCGGCCTTGCGTTATAGTATTATAATTTTTGCATGAATATAATTTTCTTTTTAGTAAAACTTCCGAACTTCTCTTGAATCTATTTTTTTTCTAACTATCATTATCTTTTTAGATTTTTAAATCTTTAGATTTGATTGGTAAACTAAAGGAATCTTCCACTCAATATTCATGTATTACCTATTGGCTATAAAGACCTAAACGATATTTGTCAATTGTCAAACCAAACGAGATGTGTTTTACTTTTACTGATTCAAATTAATGAACGACAAGATTTTTTGGGCAAAGAGGGAAAAAAACAACAATTAGTGAAGAAACCTCAAAATGGAAAATTAATTAAGGTCTTTTGAAAGGAAATTTTTTTTCTTTTTTTTTGGTTTCAGGTAACCAAACAAAAACCGTCTTTCTTACAACTGCAAATGGAACTCAAAAAAGAAGAATCAAATTGAACATTGCTTTTAGTGAAAGTAGTATCTGTCGGTCATTGAACTCCATCAATCAATTTGAGGGTCCGGTAAACTTATGTGATATATATATTGTACATGTGGGCCTTTTGGTTCGTGTGAGAATGTGTGGTACTCCAATGCGGGTATGCTTGTAGCTGTAGCCTTGTAGGAGATCGAACCAGAATCAGGTGGCGAATATAGAAATTGAAAATAGGACTCTTGAATCGTGATGAAAAGTCTAATGATTATATATATATATAATAATAGGCTTTGTAGCTTTCACTATAAAATTCGAAATTATGACTTGTGGTTTTAGGAGCTTTCACTATGACTCACTATGACTCACGAAAGTTTAAAAGCATTGTATGGCGGGCACACATTGTCGTTGACTCGCTGATTAGGTGGGGTCGCTCCTCAGATGATAATTCGTACGACTTTAAATCTTAGGAAAATATATGTATGTTTATAAGTTATTTGAATAATATATTCTATATTTAATTTAACATATATGATCTCTTTTATACTAAACAAAATAAATTAAATCAATATATTCTTACGATTGTCTAGCTATATATGCCTGTAATTTTGCCTCAACATGGAAAGAAACAACAAAACTTTCGCTAGAAAATAAAATAAAAATGAAATGATTTTTAAAGTGAAAAGAATTAATAAAAATAAAACCATATTTTATGCGGACAAGAACAACACAAGTGGAGATCTGCCTTTTTGTCAATATTCATGTCATGATATTAAAGAGGAGAAACAAGAAAAGAAGAATGACTCAAAAATGGTCCAAAGGAATATCATAAAGTGGAGATCGTCCGTCTCTTTTACTCGTTAGATAGAATTTTATAGTCATCCAATTATATGCCGTAGTTTTTTTTTTGGAGGAGGAACTTTTTAACATTTTAAAAACTATTTCTTATTAACCGAATTCTTTGAATATATAATTAGTCAAATGTCTGCATGATTCAATACTTAAGTACTTTATGAAAACATAAACCAAAAACAAAACTGTGGAATATAATAAATTCCACAGTTTACTTTACGATAACATTAACCAAAAATAAAATAAATTCTAAGAATGTTTACGAAAGTACCCAGCTCAAAGCCAGTGGCGGACGCACGTTAATGATTATGGGTGCATTTGACACCATTAAAATTTTAAAAACGTTTTAATTACATTAATTTTTTTAATATATATCAGTTTAATTATGAAGCTTGAACCCAACCCAATTATTAGAACTCAACTCATTTGTAAGTTTGACAGCATGAAACAATTTTCCTAGATCCGCCACTGCTCAAAGCCGGTTGGAGTGGAAAGTAGGTCATATTAGAATATGCTTTCGGCATTTTTAAAGAATTTATAGAAAGCTTACGAAGATTTCCTCTAAAGGAAATTGATGTATTTTTTTTCTTTTTGGAGTTTTACCACTTTGGTGGTAGTTTAAGAAATAAACTAAAAATAGAAGTTTAGGAAATTTCCCTAACATTTTCATTTCGTCACTTTTGATTCCACAATCATGTTAATTCTATTTTGTCCCTACTAGAAACGAACATATCATTATTTGTATATTCTGTTTTGTTACTGATAGTAACCTTTTCAATTATATTACTCGACTCTTAAAATAATAGAGTATCCATCAGTTAAGGATTTATAAAAATAAAAATAAAAACATACGTAGATCAAAATGCTTTTGCAGTCTTAAAACTTGTGCATGTCAGTAAAAAGAAACTACTGACTAAAGATCATCTATTTCGTAGAAAAAATGCAAAATATAAGGAAAACAAAAATAATCTGCAATTGCTTATAAAAGTAACAGTATTTTTATTGTCTCTAAGGTAATCAACGAACTACCGTTTGAATCTTACATGTAACCGGAAAATCGAATGATAAAAAAGAGGGACAGATACCCTGAGAAATACTAATATATTGGTCTGGTCATTTAGAGAACAAAGGAACGCACGTGTATGTGTGTGATAGATTTTGTAGAGCATTTCTTTAATCGAATGACCAGTAGTTCCCACAAAAAAGAACCGAATCGACAGAGTATGTACTGTACGTCCAAACTCAAAAAGTCACAAACAACAGACAACGGTCTCCAATAGTATACAGAAATAATTTAATACATAAATCTTATTTTATTTCAGAGTTCTTAAACCAGACGCCCGACCATGCATGGGAAACAATAGTATGAAGTAAGAACTATATATACATATCAAGATCAAGCTACCAACCATTGGGAATTGAATATCTCACAGACGATCGACTTAATACTTTTTCACACCGGTGAATCTGCCGCGTCATCCTCCGGGAATACGAGCTCTGAAAAAGAGACATACATAACAGCGACGAACCAAACAAGCCACAGAGAAACAGCAACAAGAGCGAAGGTTGGCGAAATAAGATAGATAAGCGTGAGAGCTGCGAGAGCACCAAAGAGATGGCTTACGTGCCCAACGAAGTTACTGATATTAGGTTTGTTTCGAAGCTTTACTTCGCAGACACGAAGGATGGTGTAGATAAGAGTGATGACCAAGAAACAGAGGATTATGGCTCTACGGTCTGCTTCGTTGGTTGATGATTGTTTTGTGACCACCTGAAGCAATCCCATAGCTCCGCCGTTGGTAAAGATGATAAGCCTGTGTACGGTGGAAGAGTACGCACCGTGCTCCTCCTCCTCCTCCTTCTCCATGATCTCATTACCGGAACTCATGCGCTGTGTGATTTGATCAGAAGACAACATGGCTAATGGTTAAGGTTTCCTTCGCCTTGTGTATATCGTCGCAACACAGCTTCGCATATATATAAGGGATCCATGAGATATTGCGGTCCACGTAGAAATAACTAAAGTTAAATTGTCATGAATAACTATTGGAATCTTGTGAAAAACTACGCTTCATTAAAGTGTTTATTGTCTCTTATTTTTGTTACAGTACTACTTATGTATACGTATTTCCTAGTCCTTATTGGTTTGCTGGTCACATTTATAGAATCTTTAATGTGGTGTGGGGCAGCACTCCCATGTGTTAGAGGTTTTTTTTTGGATCAATAACGTATATAATTTGTATTTTCTGTACACCAAATTAATTATAATATTTTATACAAATTAATCGATGAAGAGTAATCACAAATAATAATTTTAAAGCAAAACTCGGTCATGGTTTTTTAGTATCTTAGGCATGCTAATAATGTATTAGGAGCGTTTCTCGTAACCTAACTATAACAACTGACTATATTCACTAACAATCTAACATCGTTGTCTTTTTTTGGTGAAAAATATATGTTGTACTTCTCGTTCGCAAACGGGGTTCACCACCTGTCCTATTCTAACCGGTGGATCCTAATATGTGCATGATAAAGAAATATTAATATATTAAACGATAAGATGATTGAATAATTCTTTCGTAATGCATGGATGATGGATTGGTGATCTAGATTGAGCTCAATTTAATTATCGTAAGGCACACAAATGTCTATATTTTTAATTACTCAAAGCATTATTATCTCGTGATGTTTTTATTTTTGGGTTGCCTTATTTATAATGAAGTTGAAATGACAAATAGCTTCCGAGCTGTGGAAATAAGGAGTGGAGGGGTTTGGGAAGTCCTTATTAAGTAGGGTCGGTGCTGTGGAAATAATAAGGAGTGGAGGGGTTTGGGAAGCTTCCAAGAAACCACAAATAGCTTCTTATTTTGTTTTTTTTTTCTTGTCTGATTTGAGCGTCGGAGAACCGTGAGAAAACACTCCAACATTCCTTCCATCGTGTTTGTTATGACGTGGGAAATCTTACTTTCAAGTGGACAATTTACACGACAAAAAATCCGAAACATATAGATTTGTAGATTTTGTTTGATTGTAGAATAATACTATCAATTGTATAGATATTTTCACCTTTAATAATTTTTTTTTTTAATTCTTAATACCAATGGTAAAATGTGTAAGTTTATCAAACTAAATTCTATAAATGTACTTTCTTTTTAATATATAAGGTGTAAAATGATTGTGACAAATAAAGATGTAAAATGACTAACCCTAACTAAAATCCCTTAATTCCGATGTAAAATTCAATTTCAGTTTCAATCTTTCCCTTCGAAATTTTTGAAATCCTATTTTATCTTGCAAAAAATAATAATTTTAAATAACAATTATCTTGATCGAAATCCTTTGAAATGTGGTGACTCTTCAGCAAGCAAGAACTTTCTGGTACTTTCTCTTCCAGCTCTTCAACTAAAAACCACGTCCTCCTTTTTCTTATTATATGAGCAACAAGTGCATCCTTGTTTTGGTGGGTACACTAGATAGGTCCTCCTGTTCGAATTAGTGGCCCAACTAAATAAACAAACAATTATAGTGAAAGAGCTCGCTTTTTAAATTTTATAGTTAAATTTGTTTAGATATAAAGTCATATCTTCTTTATTAGTTGAGGAAAAAAAAAAAACTTCTTTATTAGTTTAATGATGCTAAAAATGTATTTGTTTGATCAATACGTAATTTTTTTTTTGTCTCTTTTGCTAAAAATATATTACAAATTCAGAAATTCTAAGACCGGTGGAAAACCTTGGTTGAATACTCTTTGCTTGACCCCACTCTTTTCACACGTTCGGTGACTGGCTAGCTTCATTCTCGTCCCCTTAATTTAGATTTTTGAATATTTGAGTCATTGATGGTTAGAGAAGGTTAGTTTTTTTTTTTTTTTATCGTCTAGATTTATTATTAATTACAAATTATGAGAACTGTTACATAGACGATTCTACAACTGACAATTCCTTCCGATCTTTACTAGATTCACGACAGACTTCACTTCCTTATTCGTAATCTTGATGAATACCTTCAATGATCCACGACCTGGCGACACTTCCTTCTCTGCGTAGAATCCTGACGAACGGCTATAATTGTACATCGCTGGAGATCTCTTGCAAACTTGCCTCCATTAATCTGCAAATTTGTTAATAAATCGCAATACCTGGGACTCGAACCTTAGACTTTTTGGTGTAGAAGCATTAATCAACTCTTGGTCAACCAATGGGCCAAGGGGGCTTCCACAGATAAGGTTAGTTAAAGAAAATAGTTTTACACTAATTCAAAATAAATTTGGATTCAATGACTAAAGTTGTTTATTAATTTCATGTATAATTACGGATATGATATATTCTATATATGCACAGAGCGGGCATTAATTATTATTCTTTTTTTTTATTTTTTTTTGCGGGCATTAATTATTTATATCAATTTTATCGAACCAATGTCAACAAATAACATTTTGTATCATACATTCATAAAAAGCCCAAAATTAGTATGGTTTATGATTCAATACTATTTAATTGATGCAGCAAGTGAGTGGTTACGTTCGACCACTTTATGAACCTTTAAATATCACTTTGGAAAAGTATTATAATTAATATAATGATCAAAATGTCTTTGCCTGTATATATTAAACCGTGGTCACAAATGTGACATTAATATTTCATTTTACTTTTAACGTTTCCGATCATCTTCGACAAGCTACCTGGCTCCCACTACAAAAAATTTCCACATTGATAGCACATGATGATAGCTCATTTTCTTTGACTGCTATGAAAGATAAGTTTTTTATTTTAATTTTATATAATAGCACTGAAACAACGCTAAGATAGAAAATCACCAAATAAAAAACTAAAATCACTCGTTCCGCCAAAACTTAGCGAAATAATTCACTTAGCGCCATATGGCTCTGATCCAAAAAAATTAAAGCCAAAGTCCAAAAAAATAAAACCCTTCACTTTACCCTATAGAAAACATATCTCCAAAAAAAAAAACATCCCAAATCGAAGAAAGAGATTTGGGATTTCGTGTGAAGCTCGTCGCCGACCTCCACCGTGAAGCTCGTTGCCGGCCTCCACCGTAAAGCTCGTCGCCGGCCTCCACCCTAATTTCTATATATCTTCTCCATCCTCTTTCTCTCCTTTACCTCTTCGCTTTCTTCCTCGATTCTTCTTTTCTTCCTAGATTATTCCCTTCTCCTTAGCTCTCCTTTACCTCTTCACTCTCTTCCTACGATTATACAGCTCTGGATATATTGGATTTTGATTTCGTTGGCCTGAAACCCCAAACCAGTTTCGACGCTCGGTGCTTCACCATTCAATTAAGTCAGCCTCCTCCCTCTTTATTCTTTTCTTTTTCCTCCGCATGTACGATTTTGTTAGGGTTCAATTGATTTATGAGCACTTGAGTTAGATTTTGTTAGGGTTCAGTTGATCTATTTGGGTTAGATTGATTTCTTAGAAGCTTTTGGCCGAAGTTCTGATGATGCTTTTCATGCCCTCCAGGTGTTCGACGAATTGCCTCATTATTGGCTTGCTTGTTTCTTAACATTATTTGTCGTTCTGTAAGCTGATTCCTATTAGCTATACATATCTTATTTGATATTAGTATTACTAGAACTGTTTTGTGAATAAAAATCTAATTGTTGTGAATAAAAATTAGAGTTTTGAAATGTTTTGTGTTGATTTTTGTTTTGTGGTGTTGATGCTGAAACTTGCAGGTGCTTAAGATTCTACCTTTGAGGTCATTAACAGGTAGAACAGTAGAGAAGAGGTCTGGTTTTTCTTTGGAAGGTCCTTAAGATTTTAATTAGTTGGTCTCGAGGTACAATTATCAACTCATATATGATTATTGCTATCTCCACAATTGTCCACTTTTGTTTTAGCTTTTTGTGTGCATACCTAAATGTTTTAGCTTTTTGTTGTTTATTCTTGTTTTGTTCACAGGAAACATTATTGCAATCTCCACAATTGTCCACCGTTGAGAAAATCAGAGATTGAGTACTACGCAATGCTTGCTAAAGTTGGTGTTCACCATTACAATGGAAGTAAGTTCGTTTCTTCTTTAGCCCGTGTAGTTTTTAAGCTTCATTGTCCCCTTCTTTGTATTTAGGTTCCATTGGGTATAATAACTGAGAATGTATTATCCTAAGTAGATGAAAGTGTAATAATCTGCTTATATGGACCATTAAGCTGATTATGAAAGTAGGATTCTAAGTAGAGTAGACTGTTATGTTTAATTGACATAAAGTGTTGATCTTTCGCAAGATCAGGAACTGCTTGAATTGCTATTGTTGTCTCTATATGTGTTTCAAATTGATTGTTGTGTTGGTCTATGATTTTGGATTGCTAGAGTTTTATATATATATATATATATATATATATATATATATATAGACAAGAGATGCTGATATTCTTAGTTGATTATTAATTTCCCTAAGTTTTTTATCTTCTAATGTTTTTCTTGCATAAGATTTCTCTAAGTGCTCTTAAAGAGAGAGATAGAAAGTGGAGGTCGGGCAGCCAAAGAAAAAGACTAACGGAAGCACTCAGGACAAAGACAATGTAGAGGATACCAAGGTGAAAGAGGAGCGAATAGAAAGAATTAAGAGATGGATGATAGTGAAGGTAACTCATTTTCTTGGAATCTGTTTTCCAAATTTGCTTGGCTGGTTGGGAAGATCTGTATATCTTGTTGTTTTAACTGCATTGATTTTATTTATGTGGTTCTTCACTTCTGTTTTCAGAATTCTCAGAAGTTTCTGATCTAAGTAAGTGGTTTTCGAGTTATGTCTATGAGTCACCGATGTTGGATACAAGTGATGGTCTTGAGTTTCTTGGAGAAAGTAAAGGTACAAAGGAAATGGAATTAGTCTCTTCTCAGGCTAAAGATATGTCTCAATCGCAGGTTGATTTTCAGGTGAGTAAAGAGATTTGTTTACTAATAAAGTGACTCAATAATTTTTTGGTCAAGAAGCCTGAATTTTACTTGTTTTATTTCATGTTCTAACAAAAGATATAATGAATCTCGTCGTTGACGACAGTGACATAGATGAAGACTGCTGTATTTGGGGGAAATCTAAGAGAAAAGGTAGCAGTATTTTTCGAGAACCTAAGAGAAAGGAAGAGACTACAACAACCTGTGAAGCTGAGCTAACTTCCTTGAGGAATCGAGTCCAATATCTAGAAAACGAAGTAAGGATTTTGCATGATCTCATCAATAACTTCCTTGGCAAAAGTAGTATATAGAAGTTAGGATATTAGTTTAAGTATTGGATTGAGACTTGTGTTATGTATGAATTGATTTTTGGTTTATGAAATGATGTATATCTTTTGGATGTTTATTATTATTATTATTATATTTATATTGGATATTTTGAAATTAAACAGGTTCCACCAAATACAAATAGTTTAAAACAACCGCATAAAATTAGAGTTATGGCACTGAATATTATAGCATCATAAAAATTATAGATCATAGCTTATATATATCGCTATTATAAGTCGTTATATCAAAGCGTTTGCCTAATGCTATGGTAGAATGCTCTATAATAACATACGGAAAAAACGCTATCGTATGTAGGGGGTCTACCATAACAGGGGCATAAGACAGCGTTTATGAAAACGCTATTAATGACATATAATAGCTCTTATCTCTTGCTAATAATGTAGATATTTCTTGTAGTGTCCTAACTCTGCAATTGTTTTAGGAGAATCAATTGCTTACAAGCTCCCCACACTTTGTAACAAATGCATCTAAATGAAAAATTGCATGAGATCAGCTTTCACATGCAAAAAGACATACATGATGTTGTGGCTCTCCACTCTAAGGAAATTAAATATGTGAGATTTTGTAATTCTTCAAAATATGCACGAGTGTCAGCAAAATATTACTCACTCCGTTCTTTTATAAGTGATGTTTTTAAGATAATGCACATCGATTAAGAAATTATTTAATTTTTGTTTATTTCTAAACTAAAACATCATTTATTATCTAATCAACCAATAAGAAAACAATCTACAGAATATAAATCGTCAAAACCAATAAAAAAGTAATTAATTTTGCATCGAAAACTGAAAACATCATCTATTTAAGAACAAAATTAAAAGAAAAAACATCACTTATTAAAGAACGGGGGAGTACATTATATTTTGCCAAAAAGAAAAAAAAAAAGATTACATTATAAATGCAGATATAGACAGATGCACGTAATGTTTTTCTCTGAAAACCCTCTAAAATCAATATGTTCTAAGAAAAAAACTATACAGACGGAACTTAACATTCATACCCAAAAACTGCAAATTTGGTTCCACCACTGTCCTAGTTATCTACACCATCCCCTTGGTCTGTTTATTACGTCACTAACTTCATATAAACCGTTTCGATTGTTCATGCATTTAACTTTTATTATGCTATTACGTACCCTTCATCCATAAATAAACCACGAGATATTAAACTGGTGGCAACTGAGGCAAACCGGTGCCAGATTTGTATTTCTCCGAATAGATGGTCATGACCTCACTGAAATTTTTGTAAACGACAGTGAAGAGCCAGAGAAACCAGCTGAGAACAAGTAAGACCATAGCGAACGCGGCAGAAACCACGTAGATGAGCACTAGAGCAGCTAGACCTCCGAAAAGATGGCTCGCGTGTCCAACAAGCCTCATGACTAACCCTGGTCGTAGGCGCACATATATGGCTTCACAGACGCGAAGAACGGCGTAGAATAGAACGAGGACACAAAAACTGAGGAATGAGGCTTTATGTGTTTCCAAAACAGAGGAACTGTTGGCTAACAAGCTGGAGTAACCCTAGAATTCCGGCGTTGACCATGGCCACGACTTTGTGGACTGCGGAGGAGTATATGGTGAACTTGGCCGTTTCATCGCCGGAGATGGGGAATTTTTGGTTATTGCCGGAGTCAGTCTCCAAACCCATTCGTTTGGAATGATGACCGTCCGATGATTAAAATCTACCCAATGTTTGTTTCCTCTTGGTCTCCCGAGTTTACTCCTGATTCTCCTCCACTAACCTCAGCAGATGTTGCTGTCGAGCTTCGTGGCGTCCCGTATCTACTTTTCAACAAGGAGAGCTTGTGTAGAATTGCTACCGCAGTAGGAACCCCTGTTGCTATGGCTCCAGAAACAGAAAGAAAAGAAAATTTTGAGGTTGTTAAGTTGATGGTTCGCGTTAATCTACATAAAGAGCTGCCTAGTAAGATCATCTCTGGTTTCTCCAATGGTCGCGAGGTCGAAATCACTGTTACTTATCCTTGGCTACCACTGCAATCCCAAGGCTGTAAACAATTTGGCTATTCCGATCTCAGATGTCCTGTTAAGCATCTGGTTCACCCACCTAACACACGTTCGCGAAAGTCTAGGACCAGTAGGAGTCGTACTCCACTTCCGAGGGATTCAACAGGGTTTAAAACCCATACTCGAAAAGGTCGCTCTTGGAGACCAATCAAGAAAATTATTCCTTTAGTTTCCGATGAAAGTGATGGGTTCCAGGCGGATATTCTACTGAAATCTCCTGGAGCCGACACTGACGCTTTGACGTCGATTGCTTCCTCGAGTCAGGGTGTTGTTTTAGAGTCTGAGAAGGTTGAGAGTGTTGTGGGAGTAGTGCAGGAAGTAGTTGTTGAATATGAGAAATCTGCAAACAAGTCTGACACTTCTTCTAATATTGTGGCAGAGGCTGGTGGTGTGGTTGTGGTCCACGAATTACAGGATCATGACTTGGGGATTGTGTCGACTCCAAATCCATCAGAATGTGGTTCTCTTCAGGATTCTATGCCAATGGTAGTTAACTCTATGGTTTGTGGTTCAGCAGTTGGTTCCGCTGTTGTTGAAGAAGAAGAACAACCTTTTATTCTGGTTTCCTGCCGGAAGGGTGGTCGCAGGACCACCAAGTTACATTAATCAACCTTCATTATGTTTTTTGTGTGGAATATAAGAGGATTAAATAGTAGTAGACGACAGACTATGACTAAGGCTTGGATTAATATCCATAGGCCACTTTTTGGTGCTTTCACAGAAACGCACATTCAGCCTTTAAATGCAAGTAGAGTATCTCAGGCTATTCCGTTTGGGTGGAAGTTTTTTGGGAATTTTGAGCATCATGGAATTGCTAGAGTCGTTGTGGTTTGGGATCCTAGAGTTTCTGTGGTGGTGTACAAGGTATCGGCTCAGATGATAACTTGTGGTATCTTTATCGTTTCTAAGAATATGAATTTTACGGTTTCTTTCGTTTATGGGTTCAACCATCTTGAGGAGAGACGGCCTCTATGGGAGGAGATGATTTATCTACATGAGAACTCTCCAGTTTCAAGGTGTCCCTGGGTGGTGCTTGGAGACTTCAATCAGGTTTTAAGACCCTCTCAGCACTCAAATTATCTAAACCAAGAAATTGATCAACTAGGAATGACAGAAATAAACAATACTCTGCAAGAGGCAGAACTTTTTGAAGCCCAGGCAAAGGGACTTATTTTTACTTGGAAGAACAACTAAGAGGAAGATCCAGTTTCTACCAAGATAGATCACGTATTTGTAAATCAAGAGTGGGCTGCAAAATTTCCGGATGGTTATGCGGACTTTCTTGATCCAGAGCAATCAGACCATGCTGCTTGTCTGTTCCGGTTACCTTCTCTTCAGCGCTCAGTTATCAAGCCTTTCAAGTTCTTTCATCATGTTGCTGACCACCCTCGTTACTTGGAGCAGGTTGAGGACACTTGAAAACCTGTGTTGATCCAAGGTACTTGTCAATTTAAAATGGTGAGATCTCTAAAGTTGCTAAAGCCGGTCCTTAGAAGGCTAAACAAAAAGCAGTTCAGCGACATCTCTTCAAGGGTTAAGGAGCAGGCTGCAAAGGTTTCAGTATTACAAAGGTCTCTTCTCACTTTACCAAGTGTTGACACAGCTCGTGAGGAAAATGTGGAGCGTGCAAAGTGGCAATTTTTATTATCGGCTGAGGAGAAATTTTTTAGGCAAAAGTCTAGAGTACAATGGATGGATCTTGGGGATCGCATCACTTCTTTCTTCCATAAATCTGTTATTCAAAGGGCTTCACGGAACCACATCCATTTCTTGAGAGATTCGAATGGTAGTCTGATTGGAGCTAAGGAGGAGGTCAAATCCCATGCAGTTGATTATTTCAAAATGATTCTTGGGTCCTCTGATCTTCCGCTCTCTCCATGTTCAGTCTTGCAGCTTCAGGGTCTGCTTTCATTCAGATGCTCTAATGACGAATCTGTTGCTCTTGTAAAGCCTGTTTCGGCTGAAGGGGTTAGATCTACTCTCTTTGATATGCCTCTAAACAAATGTCCAGGTCCGGATGGGTATTCTGTTGAGTTTTTTCGGTCTGCCTGGAGTATTGTTGGTTCAGATGTGGTTGTGGCAGTACAATAATTCTTCCAAAATGGTAGATTGCTGAAAGATCTTAACAACACAATCATCGCTCTTATCCCAAAAACACCCGAAGCTTGTAAACTTGGAGATTACCGTCCGATTAGTTACTGCAATCTTCTCTACAAAGTGATATCTAAGATTATTGCTAATCGGCTCAAACCTTTACTTCAAGAGTGTATCAGTCCATCGCAGGCCGCTTTTTTTAAGGGTCGCAGTCTTGGAGAAAATGTATTGCTTGCCACAGAGTTGATCAGAAACTACAACAAGGCTGCCTGCCCAAAGAGCTCTATGCTTAAGGTTGACATCCGGAAAGCTTTCGACACTGTGTGTTGGGACTTTGTGGCAAAGATGCTGGAAGCTCAAAACTTCCCTCCATTATTTCGGGCTTGGATAATGGAATGTATCACCTCTCCTCGTTTCTCAATTGCAATCAATGGCGAACTTGCAGGATTTTTTAGTGGTAAAAAAGGGCTACGTCAAGGGGATTCTATCTCTCCGTATCTCTTTATCATGGTTATGGAAGTTCTTTCTAAGCTTATGGATCAAGCTGCTGAGGCTGGAAATATTGGGTTACATCACCGCTGCTTAACTCCCCGCCTTACTCATTTGCTTTTTGCGGATGACTTACTGGTTTTCTGTGATGGTTCTCAGTCTTCTTTATCTGTCATTGCCTCTGTTATGCAGACTTTCAAGAGTTTCTGTGGCTTGGATATGAATGCAGATAAATCGGAGATCTTTTTTGGTGGATTCTCGTTGACTGAGGCGCAACAGTTCAGCCGTTTCTCTGGTTAGAATTGGTGAGCTTCCTACGAGATACTTGGGATTACCTCTTAATTCATCTCGGATCTCCTTTGCCACTCTTCAGCCTTTCATGGAAAAGATCACTGGGAAGCTTCAATCTTGGACTGTCAAGTTTCTTTCTTTTGCTAGGAAAGTAAGACTTATCTCTTCTGTTATTTATGGTATGGTAAACTTCTGGAGTGCTGTCTTTGTTCTGCCAAAAAGGTTTTATGCTAAAATTGATGCTTTGTGCTCTGTTTTTCTGTGGAATAACAACACGGATTCTGCAAGAGGAGCTAGAGTTGCTTGGAAAGATATATGTAAACCTAAGGCTGAAGGTGGACTCGGGATCAGGTTGCTGGAGGATTTTGAGGTGGTTGTCAAGCTTAAGCTGATTTGGAACTTCTTCACCAACTCAGGCTCTCTTTGGGTTGCTTGGGTAAAAGGGAATGTGTTCCACAGAAAAAGTTTCTGGATTTCGGAAGACTCAAATAGATTTTCCTCTTCAATTAGGAGTATGCTGCAGCTGAAGACTATGTTAGCTACTTTTATGCGTTGTAATCTCGGTAATGGCCAGTTAGCATCATTCTGGTTCGACTCATGGATGGACTGTGGACCTCTTATTTCACTTCTTGGTGATGATGGCCCAAGGCAGCTACGAATTCGTAGAGATGCTCGGGTCGTTGATGCCACCAGAAATGGTCAATGGAATATGCCGAATGCAAGATCTGAGCTCATTCAGAATTTTTTAATCTCGTTGACTGCTATCACGCCTCCTTGTGGGGATCGTGGTAATGACCAGTTCTTATGGCGTAATGCGGCTGGTGTCTCGTCGCGTATCTTCTCCGCTAAGGCCACTTGGGAACAACTTCGTGATCACTCTCCCTTGGTTCCTTGGAGCAATGTAGTTTGGTTTAAGGAGGCTGTTCCTCGCTTTGCTTTCTCTTCATGGCTTGCTTTGCGAGGAAGGCTCCCTACAAGGGATAGGCTGTGGCGCTGGGGGATGACGGTTCCTTCCTCTTGTGTTTTATGCAACTCTGCCAACGAAACACACGATCATCTATTCTTTGAATGCAGCTTCTCCCCGGCGATTTGGTCTTTCTTCGCTAGTAAACTCATTTCAAACCCACCAACCTCTCTTGGTACTGTTGCGAGTTGGCTCCATGCCAGACCAGTCCATGCTTCTCAACCTCGGCCCCCAGATTCGACCATCACCAAACTCATCTTTCAGGCGTCTATCTCTGCTATTTGGAGGGAACGCAACTCGCGCATATTCTCCACGGTCTCATGCTCGATCCAAGACATCCGCAAAGTTGTTGATCGCTTTCTCCGTGATCGTCTGCTCTCGTTCCCTGCTCCGGACTCTTCCTCTCTTTCTCTACTTGCATTTTATTTTGGTTGTATTCCTTTTGTTTAGCTTTTTCAGTCTGTCGTCTTTTCCTTTCCACTGTGGTTGATTAATAAGTTGTATGCAACATATAAAAAAGAAAATGGTATAAAATTTAATATTTACACTAAAAAAAAAGATCTACCGTGGCCTGACTTTATTAGTCTACCAAACTCAATATTTTTTCAGACTGTTTTTCTGAAAGTGACATCGGTTTGTTGTCGCTTTAAATACCCGAAGGATTACTCCTATTGTAATCCCTTAATTCATACTACTAAAGAACAGGATATATAGAGAGAAAAACATTACGTTATAATAGTAACAGCAAAAAAGAAAAGAAACATTACATTATAAATGCAGATGTAAAACTCAATTTTAAGATCAATCTTTCCCTTGGAAAATTTATGCATCAAAAGTAATGATCTTGATCAAAATCCTCTTCAAAGAAATACCCTTGCGTTCCTTTCCTTGCAAGGTCTCCATTTTCTTCCTTCCGTAGACTTTTCCTTCTAGCTTTCTAATCGAATTAGTTGTTAGCGCACTGTACTAATCGAATTAGTTGCCCCAATTAAGAAAAAAAAAGTGTAGTCCTTTCAACGGATCCCACTTTCATACTAATAATTTTTGAAGAATATATGTAAAATTAATAAATTATATATAAAACTAAAATTTAAGAATTAATCGTTATGATAAAATGAAATGAGTAATCCTATAACAAAAAATTCAAAAACAAATTAGGTGCTCTAATATTTTGCTTAACCTAGTTTTCCAACGTAACAATTTGTAAATATGTATAAGTTCGTTACTACTTACATTCAAGCATGATCAAATGTATGTCACTATGTGATGGACAAAAAAAACATGACTTTCTCTTATAGAGTGAAAAATGACGTTGCCTCTTTTTAGCCTTAAATCCCAAAGGATTATATAAATGGCTTTGCTTCTTTTTTTTTAGCATTATTAAACCTCATATATTAAAAGAGAAAACAGAGGGAATTTTAAATTACAAATGCGGATGCGTAAATCATTAGAGAGTTTTGAAGAATAGATAGTTATTTTTTCCATTTTAGATCACATACAGTTTCTAGTTTCTTTTTATTTGTTTTCCTTGGTGACCAGCAACCTTTAATAAGAGCATTTGGTGATCAGCAGATTTTTGTAACGAATTGATGATCCAATGAGATGTGATTTGACTATTCGTATCACATGCATGAAAAGCACAAAAACAAATCTGTAGCTTGAATACATGCATTAACAACAACAACAAAAACTTTGTATAAAAAAATAAAATAATGTAAACTACAAAGAGCAATATTCAAGCTAAAGATTTAATTTTTTGCCTTTAAGGCCGGCTCTGCTCTGCTCCTGATAAATTGCGGACGGTGGGTGGTGGTGTAGAAATTATGTGTTGTGATCTGGGAAGCTTCAAGGAACATTCGTAACTCACAAATAAACTTTCATTTTGCGTAGGTAAATTATAAATATTTCAATTTAATTGTTAAAGTGATTGGGCACAAATAATTATCCTATAAAAGGAAAGGAAACTACGTACGTGTTTTAAACACTTGCAGAGTTTATATGGTTTAACGACTAAACCGGTGGCCGAAGCAATTTATTGGAGTTTAAATTTCTTTTGATTGTCCGCATCTTTGTTTAAGAATAAAGAAAAGTGAACTAAATCATTAGTCATGACAAATCCCAATTAGGAGCCAACATTGGTTGTCGTATGAACCAATCAATTCAATGAACGTAAATTTAACCAGTAAAATAATATAACCAAAGCATATAGAAATCTAGTAGTAATATTAAAAAAAGCACCCGGGAGAATTTCTCATATATACATATAAATAGCCATATATGGAAAGCATTCTCATCATCTAGTTATCAATATACAGTCTGCATAAGCCGGTTTGGTCTGTTTACAACGTCACCGGTTTTATTCTTTCAGAAATCAAGAATGGTTTTCTACTTTTTGTAATATTTTGTGTTGATTATTGAAAAAATTTCTTTAATAAATATAACGTCACTGCGGGTTTTACCTAAACCGTGTTGATTGTTCATCCATTTTACATTTAACTTTCATCTCACACCCATCCATACATAAAACCACAAGATGTTAAACCGGTGGTAACTGAGGTGAACATGCACTGGGTTTGTTTGTCTCCAAGTAGATCATGATCATGGTTTCACTGAAAGTGCTGTAAACTACTGCCGAGAGCCAGATAAACCAAAGAATAAGAAGAACGATAGCAAATGCGGCATAAACGACCGAGATGAGCACAAGAGCTGCTAGACCGCCGAAGAGATGGCTCGCGTGTCCAACGAGTCTGGGGACTAAACCGGGTCGTAGGCGCACGTCTATGGCTTCACGGACGCGAAGAACGGCGTAGAATAGAACGAAAACACAGAAACAAAGGAATGAGGCTTTATGTGTTTCCAAAACAGAGGAGTGTTGGCTAACAAGCTGAAGTAATCCTAGAATTCCGGCGTTGACCATGACCACGACTTTGTGGACTGCGGAGGAGTATATGGTGAAGTTGGCCGTTTCATCGACGGAGATGGGGAGTGTTAGGTTTTTGGCGGAAACAGTCTCCATATTTTGTATCTTCTCACTTTTGTTTTCTTGATCTTTCAACTTCTCATATCTATGCGACGTTTTATAGGAGAAGTCTAAGAACATATCTTTTGTCTGCATGAAATAATGACCGTCCGATTATTTGTGCTGCAACGATCAAGATCTTACTCGGCTTGACTTTCTTTCGCCGCTTATCTAAAAACGCCGTCCGAGTGGGTCAAAAGAAAAGAAAAAGAAAAGAAAAAATGACCGTCCGATGAGTTGTGCAACGATCAAGATTTTTCTAGTCTTCACTGTCCACGCCCGACGCTGAAATGGCTTCTTTTTTTTCTAGTCTTCACCGCGCGCCCGATGAGTTGTGGCAAGCTTTTGTTTTCTTCCTACTCTCCTCGTTTTCATCATATTATTGCAACAATCTTTAACGAGAAATTAAAACAGTAAAAAACGCTTTAACAAACAAAAGAAGCAGTAAAAATAACGGAATAAGTAAAACCCGCAAGAGAGAACTAATAATATTATGTTATTGCAATATCGCTTGTAGTAAAAAACTAGGATCAGACCGTGGTACATCACGTATTAATAATTTATTGCATATAGTGTTGTTTCATTCTATTTAAAATTGTGCGTACATTAAATAGTGTTACAGGTAAAATTATACAAAAAGTCTTATTTTTAATATTAACTTCAAACGCACATACAAACATAATAGGAGTAGCATTTAAGAATCAAATCTACATATACCAAAGAAATACACAATAGAATATATAAATTTAAATCAAACTAGAACAACAGGGATTACAAGAATTAGTGTGAAATTTTAGAAATAAATAAAATAAATAAATAAGAAATTAGAGAATAGAAAAAATCATCAAAGAATTATATGAAAACATGTAAGAACATGTGCATCGGTGAATTTTCACAAAAATCTCTCATATATAAAAAATTAATAAAATAATAAATATTATTATTTAACTACAAGAGTCTCTAAAAAAGTGGAGAAAGTCTCTCATAATCTCTCTCATTTGTGAGACTCTTGTAGTTACATAATAATATTTATTATTTATTATTTTTTTTTTGTAAATGAGAGACTATAGTGAGAGACTCTCATTACACAAGCTCTAAGTTTGATAATGATAATAAAAAATTTTGAAATTAGATTTCTATTATGAATTATCCCAATAGTGTTTTAGTAATAATTCCTATGAAAGAGATTACTTAAAAACTAAATTTTTGGAGAGATTTGTTTCAAGCAATTCTCAAAAGCTTTAAGATTAGAATTCAATAAATTCACAAAGTGTGATAACATCAACTTGTGGTTTGGTTGGCTAAAATTTTTGTGCCTATCTAATAATAGATCCATCAATTTAACACCATTTTTGGTGGCTTGAGGAATTAGATCGTGGACAGTAGATGAATTGGCCTAATTCAACTAAAGCATTACGAACAATTAAAGATAGAGAACAAATAATTAAAATCATAGAAGGAGAAATACACATCAATTAGGTTTTTATAAAAACACTTTCTTTGGAAATCCTAATTTTTTTGATGAGACTACTCACACATGACCTAAGTACATGTAATCATTGTAGAAGAAGGATCAAGAGCTTAGAAAGATTACCAAATAGTTTTGATAACTTCAAACAAATAAAACAAAGAAGAAGAAGAAAAGAAGAACACCTTAATAAACTACAAAAATTATGAAAGAAAGTATGCTCTACGGCTACAAAATGTCTCAGTATTTATACGCATGGGACGCAGCCCTAGAAAGAAGCAAAATGAAATTTTAGCAAAACCTAAGCAATCGGTCCACCCCTGGATCGATCGATCCACCCTTCGACGACCAGAACCGGTTTTCTTTAACCGAATATTACTTGTTGTTTTCTTTACTTGGGTATAAAAACTCTGGAAACCTAATTTTCTATTCTTTTTTCTTTCTGGAACTTTTTGAGACTTCTCTTCTGTAAGCTACCTTGGAGATCAGAGATTCATCCTTTTAACAAATTGGAGAAGTTTTTTTAAACTCTATTTTCTATTTCTATTGAAATACAATTATGTTTACTCCATTGATTTTTGTTATCTTTTTTGCTAGAGTTTAATGCATAACTAAAGTAGACTAACCAAGAAACCATATTATTGTCAAAATGTTAATTTCACACCATAGAAAAGATGGGAAACAACAGATCACACTCCTACTAAAACCCTAATTGTAACTAGACCAAAAACCTAATAACCAAAAAAAAAGTAAAATTAGACCAAAAACCGAAAAAGAAAAACTAGACCAAAAAACCACCAGAATCACAGTACGAATAAATCAATCAAGAAACTTGTGAGAGGCAGAAAGCAAGGGAAGAGATACTCTATGCCATGTCCGGAGGAGGAGGAAGAACAAGGGCAAAGCAAAGGATTCCATTTCTACCCCGCCTGAAAGACCAAATACTGATGTCATCGCCTTCTTCCAATACGTTAGCCTCAATGATCTCGTTCCACCCGCAGATAATAGCGTAATTCAAGGTTACTTTCCCTGAATTTTTCTTCATCTTCCGTTTCTTCAAAATCACACCCCACTTTACCTCCCAAGGATCCACTAGAGTCGCTCCAACTCCCTTGGTGTCATCTTCTTCTAGTAGGATTCTCGACTCAACAGGCGTCAAGAAGTCGTTACAAATTAGGGTGTTGAAAGGCACTAAGAGACGGCTCTGATCTGGTTTGATATCTGTTTCGGTCAGAGTCTTCTGATAGATGAGCCTCGGGCCTTCGCTTCCCTGCATTGTTCCCATCATCTTGACCAGCCACTCCGGCGCCTCCTTCCCTATCCATGAATAAGGAGCAACCTTTGCTTTCTTGGATTTACTGCCACTACCGTTTGACTCATATTTAGGGTTTGGTGGGTTTGTCATCTCCGTGTTGTACTCCACAAGTAAAGTTGAAGAAGAAGGAGGGTTTTGTGGGGTTTTCCTCTTGTTATCAGCCGCGATCTTGTAATCTCCCAAACACGATGATGATGAAGAAGAAAGCCCTTGAAGTGGGTTACGTGGGTCAGAAGAATCATCGGGGATCGTGTTAAGGTCGAGGAGGGATGAAGAAGTAGAAACCCTATCAAGGTTTTGTTGGTTTTGTTCAGGGTTTCTTACAGTAACAACCGAAGTTCTTCTTCTTTTAGGGAAGAGATGGAAGAATCTCTTGTCACTCTCTTTTTCTTGTTTCTTCTTCTTCTTCGCGTGGCCTCTGGATTTTACTTTCTTTGGAAGAAGTTTACGGTGTTTTTCTTCGTATAACATGACCGAAGCATCCACCAAGTTACAGAATTTACTCGAGCTTATGTCCTTCTCCGCAGCTGCGAGATGATCATTGTAATACGTAGGCATCGTTATCGGACCACAAACTCGAAGTTCTAGAGAGCGAAAGAGAGAGAAGGAGGAGAGAGAGAGAGAAGGAGGAGAGAGAGAGAAAGAGAGTGCCTCTCTTACATTAAATAACGTCTGCTTTTATAAGGGTTTCGAATCAAAATAGGAGATAAACTAGGAATTGGTAGAGAACTTATCAAGACTCCTTTATTTACTCGCTACCCAAGCCTTTCCAAAACTTTCCATTTTTTATTTTTTTTTTCTGTTTCTTAATTTTATTTTTTTCATGTTCGTACTTAACTAACTTTACTAACTGTACTAACGTATAAGAAAATAAGTAAATCTATATAAAATATCTGAAGATATTGCTAAATTAAAGCCATGTAAAGTTTATCTGTTTCTTAAATTAAAAAATACCTATGATAAATTTTTGACAAACACCTTTCTTAAGTTTAATTTAGCTGGAACAAGAAGAACAAAATATGACTGGGCAAACTTTCATAACATAATTAAACATTAATTGCAATAAATAACACGAAAAACCATATCGTGTTGGTGTGTCAAAGCAAGCTACCAGCCCGCTATGACCTTGTTCGTCTTTTTCAGAGAGATCGTTGAACAAATTTAGACCTTTAATATGATTTCCTTAAGTTTGTTAATGTAATTATTGGTTCGTTTTGAGATTTGAAAATAGCAGTAATAGTATAGATACTTGAATATGTTTATGGGAAAATTAGAAATAAAAGAGGTCTAAAAAATAGTTTGACCATATACACTTTTTTTTTTTTTAGAATGTCACTTTAAATTAAAATATTATTCTCTCTTTTAAACATTTTTAATGATTTTATCAAAAAAAAAAGGTGCTTTGTAAAAAAAATTGGTGATTTAGTTGAAAAAAAAAATGATTTTTTTTTTTTTGATAGGAATGTGAATATCATATAAATGAAGTTTGAGGTTTTACAAAAAAGTCAACCTAGAGATTGTAGCCTTGCCAAAAAAAGTTTTAAAAAACAAGGGTTACAAAGAGATGTTGGGTGTCAATCAACAAATTATCGGATCCAAAGAGCCATTAGGTTCCTGAAATGCTTCCGGTTCCGTCTGGCAGAGATGGTGTTGCGCAGCTCCTTGTCGATGAGGATAAAGACTGCATCTGGGCTGATATAGATTTGGTTGTGGAGAGCATTGTTTCTTTGCTTCCAAAGGTGGTACACAGCAGCATGACTCGCAAGCTTCCGGAGAATAGAGGGAGACGAACTGGTACTCATTTTAGTCCAGGAAATCAGCGAGGGCCAAGTGTAGAAAAGACAGGGAGGTAAGCAAAGTCTCAACTGGATTAGGTGCCAAACCTGCTCACTAAAAGCACAACGCAGCAGGAGATGCTCGTGAGTCTCCTCATGTATGGAACAAAGACAGCAGGTCGAGGGTATAGGAAGGCCCCAGGAAGCGAGACGGGCCCTTGTTGGCAGTCGCTGTAGCTGCGCAGTCCACATGGTAAAAGCATGTTTCGGAGTGGCGCCTTTAAACCAAACTGAAGTAGCCCAATCCTTAGTTGTGGTCCTCGGCCTGGTAGATTCCCAAGTGATAGCAGTGGGGAAACGATTGAATTTAATACCTTGGATAACCCAAAAGTAGCTATCTTCCTCAAGAGAGCTGAAGACCGGAGTAACAGAATTAAGAAGATCGATGAGAGGTAAGGCGCGAAGCGATCTTGATGGTGGAAGAATCCAGCCATTGTCATCCCATGCATCAGCGACAGAGCAATGGATTGGTAGTCGCAAGAGTCTTGGGCCATCAACACCAAAGGATTTGATTAGAGGGCCAAGGGGACACCACGAATCAAACCAAAAACTAGCAAGCCGACCATTACCCAATTTACACTGAACAAACCTTTCAGCTAAGGGCCTTAAGTTTAACAATGATCTCCAGTTCCAAGAGTCCTTAGTAGAGGGTTTAATAGACCAGAAACTCTTGCCTTTTATGTGGTGATGGTGATGCCATGCCACCCAAAGAGAGCCACTCCCAGAGAACAGCAACCACACAAGCTTCAAACATAGAGTAGAGTTCCAAATTCCCAGCCGACGCAAACCAAGACCACCTTCAGTCTTTGGATAACAAATATTGGCCCAAGAAACCTTAAACCCTTTTGAAATATCAACGGAACCAGACCAGAGAAACCTGGCGCACAGAGATTCCATCAATTTTATGCAAGCTTTTGGGAGGACAAAGGAAGAAGTCCAGAAATTAATTAGACCATAGATCACTGACTTAATCAGTTGCAGCTTTCCAGCGTAAGACAGAGAAGAGGTAGCCCAACTTTGAAAACGCTTTCTCAGTTTTTCAATGAGTGGAGAGTATTCTGAAATTCTTAGTTTCCTACTCATTAGAGGCAAACCTAAATATCTGATGGGCATAGAACCAATGGGAAATCCGAAGCTAGAGATTGCTAAGGATTCACCAGGGTCTAAGCCAGCAGTAAAGATCTGAGTTTTCTCACAGTTCATTTTCAAACCAGACCAACTTGCAAAGATGTCCAGAGCGTCAGAGATACCTGTCAGAGATGAAGAAGAACCATCAAAGAAAACCAATACATCGTCCGCAAACATCAAATGAGTTATATCAAGTTCTTTTGTTTGAGGGTGATGATTAATGAAGCCAGCCGCGAAACTAGAGCTCATAAGTTTGCTGAAGACCTCCATTGCCAAAACGAACAGGTAGGGAGAGATTGGATCTCCCTGCCTTAACCCACGAGAGCTTTGAAAATAACCTGAGGTGACCCCATTAACAGAAACCGAGAATTGAGGAGTTGAGATGCATTGAGAGATCCAGTTTATGAATCTGTCCGGGAAGTGCATGGCTTTCAAGATGGCAGTGATGAATTCCCATTTCATCGAATCAAAAGCCTTCCGGAGGTCAACTTTCAGCATGCCTCTTGGGCCAATATTCTTTCTACTATACCCATTGACCAGTTCTGTGGCCAACAAGACGTTTTCAGCAAGTAGTCTACCTGGGAGGAAAGCAGACTGAGCATTGGAGATAACAGAGGGAAGGAGAGATTGCAGCCTACCCGCCAACAACTTTGAAATCACCTTGTACACTGTATTGCATAGAGAGATTGGCCTGAAATCAGATGTTGAGGAAGCATTTGTGATTTTTGGGATAAGAATGATTGTAGTTGCATTCCATTGCTTCAGCAACTGACCAGACCTGAAAAATTCTGAAACAGCCTCAACCAATTAAGGGCTAACAATGTGCCAACAACTCTTGAAGAACTCAGCTGAGTAGCCATCAGGGCCAGAAGTTTTGTTCCGAGGAAGAGAGAAGACAGCTTGGCGAATCTCTTCAGGAGAAAAGACAGAATCCAAAGCAGCTTGGTGGGCAGGAGAGCATCTGAACTCTAGCAAGCTAGAGAGATCTGCAGGATCAAATTGAGGAGATTCTTTGGGTCCTCCAAGAAGAGATTTATAGTATCTGACACAATGCTCCTGGATCAGTTGCTGAGATTCAATCCTGCCGCCAGAGTTATCAACAAGGAAATGAATGTGATTCATTGCGAGTCTAGCAGAAGTGATGCGATGAAAATAAGCAGTATTCAAGTCACCCTCTCTAAGCCAGGTAATTCTCGATCTTTGGCAGAGAAAAGATTCTTCAGCCTGGAGGAGAACCTGCCACTTCTCATTTGCTTTCATTACAAGAAGAGCAAGAGCAGGAGTTGGGTTTGAGAGGAGCTGCTGCTGGAGTCGCAGAACAATCAGGTGAGCTTCTTTCACTCTTTTCTCCAGGTTGGAGTAGTTATCTTTGCTAAACTCTCTGATGTACCTTTTCAAGATTTTTAGTTTTTTCGAGAAGCGAAGCATAGCAGATCCCACCAGATTAAAGCTAAACCAATGATATGCAACCAAAGGCACAAAATTTGGATTTTGTAGAAGGAAGTTCTGGAACCTGAAAGCTTTCCTTTGACGTTGCACAAACAGATTTAGAGTGATGCTGCAAGAGGAGTGGTCAGAGAAATCTGGTTCGCCAAAAAACCCAAGGGAAGCAGGAAACAACTGCAACCAATTCTCATTAACCAAGATTCTGTCTAACTTCTTTGCCAGAGGGTTAGCGCTTCTTTTATTCCACCAAGTGAATGAGCAGCCTCTAAAATTGAGATTAGAAAGGTCCGCCTCCAACAAACAGTCACGAAACAACCTGATTGGCAGGTCAACATTTGGATTGAGGGAGGAAGAGTTGTCAGATGGGCTCAGGACTTGATTAAAATCACCGAGAACAGACCAGGCTTTCCCCACCATACGAGGACTAGAGGCAATAGAAACAATTTCAGTCCATAGCTCTCTTCTAGCCGACTCTTCGTTTGCTGCGTACACAAAAGATATAGCAATCTCAGACTGTGAGTCCGGCAGAAGAACCTCACAAGTCATCATCTGGAGAGATTTGGAGATGATGGACACCTTGACACTAGGGTGCCACATGATCCAGATTTTCCCCAAATCTGAGAAAGCATAATTGTCTTCAAAAGACCAGCCTGGCAAAATAGCAGATAAAAGCTTCTTCTGTTTGCACTGCTGCACGTGAGTCTCAATGAGACTCCCAAAAATAGGACGGTTAAACAAGAACCAATCCTTAAAGCCTCTCCGATGACTTAACTTATTAAAACCTCGCACATTCCAGCAAAAAATGTCTTTATACATTAATCAGATATGTTTGGGGCCCTTGCCCCTAGCACCTCTTTGTTGTCTCTGTGAGAATATTTTTAAGAACTGAGATTCATCAATTTCCGGATCGACACCGTCCTCTGAAGACAAAACATCTGAAGAATCAGATTCAAGACTCTTTGCTTCCAAAAGATCTTGATCAGCCTGAATCTTGTCGAGCCCAATGTCAATGCAAATAGTACCTTCTTGAACAGGAGTTGGGGAAGAGGCGGGAATGCTAATACCTTTCTTCGAAACAGATTTAGGCTTAACTTGAATCCACTCTGAAGAGCTCGCAACATTACAGGCAAGAGCCGGTTTAGGAGATGGCAAGACCGAGCCAATCACGATCTCTTTACCTTTTGCACTAGGAGCAAGGAGAACAGAGGTTACGGGAAGATTTAGCAAAAGCTCAGGTGGAGTTGCTGACTTCTTCGACCTAGGAACTTTCTTTTTGGGTTTAGCTTTGGCACGCGGACACGCAGCAGCTGAGTGACAAGTAGATTTGCAGCGCTTCAAATTATGACCCACTTCCTTACAGAACGAGCAAATAGGCGGCATCCATGGGCTAGACACAAGAACACGACTTATTTCTCCCGAAGGGAACTGGACATTGACAGCCTCCGGCAGCGGCTTCCTTGGGTCTATAAGAGTGAAAACTTTAGCCACTTCTAAGTTTGTCATGTTTGCAGTTGATGGATGAAGCCCTTTAGGTTCGCCAACTAATTCTGCAATAAATTCAAACCCATCCTCATTGAAGAATTGAAGTGGGATGTTCCTCAGTTCTAGCCACACAGGGGCTGAAGAGAGCTCAGGCTTCTGCGGAATGGATCCTGGCTTCCATTTCGCGACAAACATAGTTTGGCCTTCAATCTGCCAGAGACCTTGAGTGAAGATCCGATTCCGGGTTGAAGAATTTGGAACCCGAAACAGAAACGCATTACCCTCCATCTTGGTAACCGAGATGTCCCTGTGAAAACGACTCCAAATACCATTAACAATCGCGTGAACGGTGCCTTGAGCCGGCGGTTCTGAGTAGAATTGACCTAAAATGAAACAATCCCAAGATTTCTGGTTTTTTTCAATAACAGAGATGGGAATCTTCACACAGGCTTCCCCCGAAGGAAGGGTAAAGGCTGTTCCTTTTTTGGTTAAGGGTCGAGAAGTTCCCTTAAACAAACTAAGCCACGGCGCGTCAGGAGATTTGGCGGTGACTGAGGAGACTGGGTCCGCTGGCGGCGCAGCATTCGCAGAGGTTCCGGTGCAGCAAGGTTTTAGGTCGCTTTTAGCCGGATTTGGGGTGACCTTACTTTGCTCACGGGGAGAGGCAAGGACATTGGGTTTTGAAGAAAGAACAGAGGCAGCAACAGCTTTCGCGGGTGACCCTGAGCTTGCTTCAGACGAAGAAAATCGTCCCGAAATCAACAGATCTGAGGACTGGGGCGGTGGAATCGAAGGCTGGGATGGCGGAAGTGAAGACTGCGGCGACGGAATTGGGGGTTGAGCACCGGCGGAAGCAGGGAACTCGCGAAGCGGAGGAGACGACAACGGGGCCGCAGGAGGCGACTTCTTCTTTTGGGAGGAGACTTTGTTCCTCATGAGGAGAGGAGGGCCTGAAGGAGAGGAGGAGGCGGCGCTCCGACGTCGAGGCCGACGCCGGACAAGGTGGGAGAACGCCGACACTGTTCCGTTCTTTTGAGAGAACCTTATCGCGTTTTTTTTCGCCAATGCAATTTAACTGTAGGCTTCAGGAAGATGTATTTTATGCGGTAGGGTTTTTAAGATCTGCGGGTTTTGACAATTAAAAAAAAAAAATTTGTACATGTTTTTAAGATCTGCGGGTTTTGATTTTTGGATGGATAAATTTTTTTGTCTAATATTATTAGAATACGTTTTCTAGTGTTCTACGAATATTAGAGTTTCTATTCTAAACTTTTGTACATGTTCTACGAATATCAGAGTTTATGTTCAAAACTTTTGTACATGTTGTACGAGTTTTAGATTAGATTCCTGTTCTAACAAATTCAGAAGACCGGAATACAATTTTCTAAAATCCGTAGAACATATATTCTACGCTTTCATTCATGTTCTAATTTTTGTGGAAAATTCATTTTACGATTTACTACATGTTCTGAAAACGTTAGAAAATATATTATTATTTTAGAAAATATTTTCTAAAATAATATAGATTCCAATTTCTGAAATTTTTAAAATTCCTAAATATAGAAAGTGAATCTTTCAAAACAAAACTGAATATTTATTGAATATTACGTTTTTATTGTTTAGATTGCGATCTGAGGATGTTTAGAATACGTATTCTAAGTTTTTTAGATGAAAAAAATAAATTTAAATCGTAAAACCAAAAGATGAAATCGTTTTTGTGCCCTAATTCTCAAAGTATTCTTCTTTCACACCTTCCTTTTGAGTCCACGTTGAAAGATTAGACTAATTTGGTAGTCATTTTTTCACATTTTGTGTCATACTTTTCGAGATGCACATCTACGTAAAGAGTGGTGTGTGGTGATTTTGTGACAACAATGAGTGGAGATTTGTTGTTGATGAAAAAAATATCTGAGTTCTAACTGGTATTTTCCTTGGTCAAGATAGAACTTGATACTGAATTTAATGTCAAGTTTGATAGTAGTCCTATTGAACCGGTGGATTTAAGTAAGAGAGATATAATCCGTGACTTTTTAACTGGTATTTCTATTGTAAGACATATGATCATCTCCCATCGTATTCTAGAGGTATATACATATAATCTTTCATGCATACGTAACAATTTAAATTTCCATGAAAACATTTTCTCACATCTATCTTTGTTCTTTCTACTTTGCAGGTCCTTTACCATTACTCCAAACTCGGACCGATTCCCACATTCCATAACTTGTCTCATTTGCAGGCTTCCTTCTCCAGCCCATCGTTACAATTGTTGCCAGCTTTTCTTGAGAGCTGCCCAAATCTGAAAAATCTAATCTTGGTAATCTTTTTGAATATGTGATTTAGCTTAAGAACATTGTTGAAATATATTGTAAACTCAGTTTGGTTGTATTTTTTCGTAGGACTCGGTGCCAGAGCAGATCGACCTTACAAGTGTGCCTCGGTGTTTAACATCGACTCTGGAATACGTTAAGATTAACAAGCTGATTATGAGAGAGGAAACTGGGATTAAACTAGTGAATTACTTTCTTGAGAATTTAGCAGTACTAAAAAAACTCGCTCTAAGTTTCGTAGATTGTCCTATGCCCAACAAAGCTTCGGATATTATCATGGAGCTTGTTACATCCACAAAGCTTTCTCACGGTTGCCAAGTTATCGTTGATTTATATGCAGCTGATGAAGCTGGTGACTTGGTTGGCACATGGTGAATTTTGTTTCATTGCACATTATTGTAGGAATGATCTAGTCTCTATTCTCATGAAAATTGCCGTTAGGCTAAGCATTTTATTGACATGGTTTATTAGGTTTGCTCATCTTACTTGAATCTTATGGATGAGTTTATATACTTTATAAGAGTTTTAAACTTTTCTTGCTTGATATCAAACTCAGTTACTTGCACATTACAGAGTTTCCCATTGCTTTCAATTCTGGTTGATCATTGTAAACGCTTTATATGACAAAAAAAAAAAAAAAAAATGAATAGTTTACATTCTTCTAAGATATGTTTGAGTTTCAAGGGCTTGTTTCATTTTTCGTATTGTCTGTCCACTTCTAAGTTCTAACCAAACTTGACATAGTGGAAATATTGAAAATACATAAATATGTTTAAGTCTAAACAAAAAAAAGGTTTATTAAGATGTTTTAGACTACCCAAAGAAAGATTCAAGAATTAAAAAAAAAAAACCTTCTTTTAATCTTAGAAACCTTCCTTCAAAAAATCCTGAAAACTCTAATAGTAGATTATAGGAAAATTTATATACAAACAAAACAATGGACGTAGGTTATATATCCTAAAACGCTAAGTTATATATATACTATCCAACAAAATTTTGTTAAGTTCTCTTAATATATACCTGAAGAATAACAAATTTAGAATTAGGCAAATAACTGAAAGAGAGAATGTTTGGCGTAGAGAAATGAGATCATTGAAAAGAAAATCTTTCACTCGACAAGTCACTTTGCCCGTTTGATAGATAAAATAAAACGATTCTAAATAGGATTGCATCACTCCGAGCTTATGGCCATCCGAGGAATGAACACATCCTCTAACAATCGTTTCACATGCATGGAGTCTGCTAATAAGGGCATCTCTTGCTGGGCCTGGGATGTACTATGGTTTTGCCATTCATTATGGTTACTAGTTTGTAAATAATTCTCTTTTGTGGTCTGAATAATAAATATAACAGTTCACAAAAAAAAAAAACGAAACAATCCATGCTCCAGATCATGTCGATAAAAATATCAAATTCTTCATTCTTAAATTGATAAAAATAGAAAAAATTTAAATTGTTGGTGGCTTCTTTATTTTAAACGGTTTAACATGTCCATCTCCATCACTAACTTAGTTGTATGTGTCTGTTGATTTTCTTGAAAAAACATTTTGTTAGTTCAATACATAGGAAATTTTCAAGAAAATCAAAAGACTAACAGCATAGCCACTGTTAATTTTATACATTCTCTGTCCGCCAACATTATCTTCCTTGTTTACACAATTCTGTCTCTGCACAAATTAATCATTATCAAACTATTTCACTACATACATCTCAATTTCTACTGGTTCTGTCTCGACCAAAGGAGCAACATACATCTAGTTATTGTTCGGTCAATATGCTAAAGTTAATTAGACTAATGTAGTCACTAAGTCTTGCATCGATTTTGTATACTGGATTAGGTTAATATTAAACATACATGACACTGTAAATTCATTGTTAAGTTAGATTCGCGCATCTTACCTGAGGCTGCATCTAATTTGGTATATTTTGCAATCCATTGAGATAACAAGGAATACACAAAAGATATCAAATTTGATGCATCCTCAAGTAAGCTGCAAACCTAACTTAGCAGTGAATTTCTTGTGTCAGCTATGTTTAATTTTAACCTAATCTTGTTATAAAAACAATGCAAGGCGTAATGACTACATAAGTCTAGTTAAAACTTTCTCATATTGACTGAACAATAATTAGATGTACTTTGCTCCTTAAGTCAAGGCACAAGCAGAAGAAATCGAGATGTATGTGGTGAAAAAGTTGACAATGATTGATCGGCATAGAGACATACTTGTCTGAATAAGAAAGTAATGTTGGTGGACTCAAAATGTATGACTTTAACGGTGGTTATGTGGTGAGTCTTTTCTTTTTCTTGAAAAGCTTCTACGTATTGAAATAACAATACTTTTTCTTACTGGGAATACTGTTTGTGTTGCAGCTTATTGACTATAGAAAGATTCCTTCAGATTATTAAGAGTGAGGACAACAAAGTTAGTGATGGAGGTGGATATGTCAAACCATTTATACAAATAAGAAACTAACGATATTAAAGGTTTTTTTTTTTTTATCGACTAGAATAGAGAATGAAAATTTTGGTATTTTATCGACATTAGTTGGAGCATGGGTTATTTCATATTTTATTAATTGTAGAGCTTTCTCTCATTCTGTTATTTGTCTAATTCATTGGGAAAATGAATTACCAACAAAGTTTACCATTTTGTTAAAACAAAGTTTACCAACAAAATGGAAGAAGAATTCGAACAAAATGATATGTATTAAGAAATGAGTCGTAGTGATAACTTATCTGGATCAGCGGTGGTCTTTTTGTTTAAATAACCGAGTCAAATTACATGCATGCCTCCCCGGCTCTCCATGATGTCATTCCTCGGCGACATGTCCCTTCGTCATAGTAAAATAATACGTTACCAAATAATCTTTTTTATAGCCATCAAATTCTTTGCTATCATCTCAAGATGTTGCAAGTACAAGAGAGGCTTACTTACTAGACCAAGAGTTTGCTATCAGAAATTTAAATTATTTCAGAAGAATTTATGGAAGAAGGAAGAAATTGCTGACCTATAGTTGTTGAAACTTTTACTTCATATCAATACTATATCTTGGAATTGACGCTTACCAAATAAATCTTAGATCAAATGAATTGAAACGTCATCTTGTGGTTGTTGATGAAAGTGTCTTGTAGTAGAAGAGAGAGCATTCCATCGTTTGCAGACGATTCCTAATTGGATGATATTAGGATGATCTCTTCCACCAAATCCCATAGAAGCTTCTCCTTTATGTTCATTAGGGTCTTTTATATTTAAAGTCATTACTTTTTCAGATTGTACTCAATTACTTGTAAAGTTTTCCCAGTTAGGGTTTCAATGGATTGTTCACTGAATCTCCAAAACTCCAGATTTTTATCCCTTTTTCTTCAAACACCATATCTGGATTTTTCTTCTTTTAGATAAGATATCATACCTAATTTGTTGAGGTCCATATTTTCTCCATTCATGTTTATTATTTCTTTCCTTTTTTTTTTTTTTACTTTGTATAGAAAAATCCTCTTAATCAAGTCTCTTCTAACTTGTCTGGATTATTGACTCTGTGTTGTCTAAAATGGGAAAGGAATCGGGTGCTTCCTTAGTAATTCAAGTATGAGTTTATCAACACATCTAGATGTTCATTCTCTATACATCATCTAGAATTCTAGATGAAAAAACAATCAGGTCTACATAACAAAGTTTACCCGATAGACCCAAAGCCACACGAACTTTTGACTTTTTTTGTTAGCTGGATAAACCTATAATACACCTACTATCAACAGTTTGAAACTTTTCGTAATGAACCACCCACTGCAATCGACTAAGTCATTAGCTCTCTGAGATTATAAACCGGGAATATACACATCATTATCTCAGGATTGATGTTTACCAAATGAATCTTGGATATAGAAAAAAAAACATTCAGAAATTTCTAAAGAAGAGTATCCAATATCGGGTTTTTACTCTCAATTTCTAATGATTCCAACTCATTCCAACCAATTGTCTAATCCCTTAGGATCCAATATATGTAACTCATCCTTATTTTTTAGAGGCTAAGCTTTAATCCTTTTATTTTTTAGTTTAGATTTTTATTCATGCTAATTTTATCTTTTGCATTTGTCATAAATAGATAAGATCAACCCTACTAGCTCATAGTCTTGGAAAAAAAAAAACCCACGAGTACGAGCTTTATAAAAAACCGTCTTCACCCTCATGTTCCTCAAAATATGCTTGTCAAGCCATTTTCATAAAGATGAAAAATGTATGTGGCAATACTCAAGTGATTTGGATAAGTTGTGCTTAGCGGGGAGAGTGCACCGAACTCCGACAACATATCGGGTTGGATTGGGCAAATCCCTTGTGCAGGCAGACAATTATCTTACTTTGGCTCTAATCTGGTAAGAGTATGCAGCCATATACACTAACACTTCCTATTGTTTTTCAAGAATCTTAGATGGAAAACACCTTCGCTATACATAACTATATACTATCCAATCGAGTTGCTTTTATGAACAATCACTCATAGATAAAATCACAGTGCTTATTGCAACCTGAACAATTAAATTTTTTAAATAACATGTAAAAAAATAACTTCAATAAAAATGCATAAATCGAAGTTGACCTCCACAGTGCTTATTCCCCATGAAGAGACTCGAACTTCGTGGAGAATACTAAGATTACTGTCAGGCCAAAGGGACTATTTGTAATAATATCATCAGCTTTATATTATAAATACACAATGTCTAATTTTTTAAATGAAAAATATCATTAATTGCAAAATGCAAAATGTCTAATTTTTTTTGTCGAATATAACTATAATAACACAAAATTGCATACAAATATAATGAAAATGCTGAAACATATTTGTTTTTGTTATTCGGCCCAAGCCGACACGAAACAAAAACGAAAATCAAAGGCAGGTTTTTTCATTGTCCAAGTAAACTAAAACTATAATAAAATAATCATAACATTAAAATAAACTAAAACTAGTCTTCGTCATCAGAATTATCGAATGTGATCTTCGTAGCTTTTGGAGCATCAGCTGCTATTTCTTTGAAGTGAGCTCCATACAATTTTGATTCCTGCAGTTTTTAATCAAACAAAACACACACAATGATGAAGACGAAGCAATTTGTGTGAAAAATCAAGAATGTGATGGAAGAAAATCAAACCTTTTTCTTTACATGAGTGCCAAACTTCAAAAGATCATCTGGCACAACTTGTCCTGCTTCCCTGAGAACATTCACAAGTTCTCCGGCAAGACCCTGTAACAAAGAGACCATCATATTTGAATGAACTCTGTAAAAAGGTCGCTGCTTGAAGAATCTAAAAGAGTTTTTTCAGGTTTACCTTGTTCTGTTGCGTGAAGAATGTGTGTGCAACGCCCTTTTTACCCGCTCT